GCGGTTACGAGCTATGAGCGTTAGTCATTTTGTTATAACAATTGCCATAATTCTTTTGTATTTACTTACTGCTTAGTAAGCTTCAGGGCTATTTAAATATTTTTTTTAATCCCTCCACGACCGCGGACACGCCGGCGTTACAGTTAACAATAGATTTCTTAGAGATTTAATTAATTTCTTAGAAATTTACCTAGAAGTGCTAAGAATATGAATTTTATTAAAACTTACATTATATTATGAATTTTATTTTATAGAATTCTGCACACGTTGCTTACATTATTGGGAGAAGAAAAATATGGAGATATGTACTTATATCAGCACATATTCGGTACATGGTATAAAGTATTATATCGTTATTAAAAAATGTTTCCAAAGCCAATAAATCAATAATATCAGATTCAGTGGCTTAAAATAAAGATTATTTGTTACTGACCTACGCTACGAATTACAATATTGCTGTAGCATTTAAGTATTTCGAGACAGGTTTTACATTAACATTATCGGTCAAATACCAACTGTATAACATCAAAGATTTAAACGCGCCAATTTCTCGAAACGACTTCGTCGATGCACTTTGCGGTACATAAAGAAAAGCATAGAAATACACTTCACTTGGTATCTATCTATACATATAATAAAATTGTAACTTAGCCGAATCTGTACATTACATATTTTTTGGAAAATCTTATTGTAATAGACATTTTTATCGATACAGAGGCCGAATCTATCGTTTTTAGAATTTTTGTCTGTCTGTCTGTTACCGCATCACGGAAAAACCACTGGATCGATTTTGATGAAATTTGGAATGATGATAGCTGATTATCCGGGTCAACATATAGGGTACTTTTTACCGCGGGAAAATATCTTATTTCTGAGAAAAAATACAAAAACTGCATTGTAAGAAAGAGTTACTAATACCTATGTAAAACCTAAGAATTTGGTTTTTGGTCATCTGAACGCGGGCGGAGCCGCAGGCAATGCTAGTATATTATATAGGTCATAGGTACATATATAGTACGTCACTACGTGCGGGACTGGTTACACCAGTTTATCCCCACCCTGTCTCCATGCAGTGAACAGCTGATCTAATAACAAAGAGAATAAAGGACTTGTCCACATTGTCTTCTTATTACTCGTTTTGTTTAGATATCGATTTAACTGTTTGTAATAGCTAAAACTGGCTTGTTTTCCAACGATTTCATCGTAATGTATTTACGTGACGCATACGTTTCGTAATACACTGGCTATTGCGTTTTAGAATAATGATTTTATCGATAGAACATATGGAACATGAAAACTATAAATATGATTGTGAATCCTGTAAAATGATTTAATCGACCTAACAAAGGGCATACTTGCCTTTCTGTTCATCCAATACACGGAGTCCCTTGAGATATTTTATTTTGAAAAACTATTGTCTTTAAAAAACAGTCTTGTTACAGTCGACAAATCACGGATTCATCTTGTTATTATTTATACGAGTTGATTATCACTTGTGTCGTAGTTTTTCACTCTATTTAGACTGTTGTTTTTATAACTTCCACGACACGTTCGATTTGACATTTAATGTTGTAAGTACATTATAGTCTTTGTTTACAATGTTAAAGAGTTTTATGTATTATTTACATCACTTCTCAGTGGCCTGCGAACGTGATAATCGTTGCACTGCCTGCGCACTTTATTTGCGCTGATGCGTCAAAAACAATCGCTCGGATGGCGAAAGGGAAACTCGTTGGTACGAACTTGTTTTCGTGACGATTTTACGTCTCCGTCTCTAGTTTATACGGCAACCATTTTATCTCACTTGCGCATTTGACGTTTTGAACGCTGTGTTGCTATATCTGTCATTTATATATATATTTTCTATTTTTATTTTTTTTCTCATACATTAGAGAAAGCGAGTGAAAACAACAAAATTTATTACTATAGAGAGACGGTACGGTAGGTTTTTTCAGTTCTGTTATTTTTGTAATTGTTTTTCGTGTTACCTTTAATAGAGATTACAAAATTTGTTTATATTGTTTTATAGCCTAATTACAGTCAAGTGTATAAGAATCTGTTAAAGAGTTCTTAAAAGACAATTATTGCATAAACTTGATTGATTTCATGGTCGCAGTGAAACGGGTGAAGTAACCGCAACGTACGTTTCCAAAGATGAAGGGATGATAATGTTGTTGAAAGGACATGGAGTCTATATAAATTCCTAATACAACTAAATATATATGGCAATACAAAAAAAAAGCTTAAAAGAAATGATGCTTTCAAATTGCAGCAAATATTATGGTTTGGAGGTAAATAATACACTGAACCGACTATAGTATGTATATTTTCATTTAATATAAAAAATTATAGGTATCCACTATATATGTACACTTAAGTAAATGGCAAACAACTTGTAAGATCCAACAGAATTAAATTTATATCACAGTTTACGAATTCAAAATCGTATTCTGTGTATTTACTATGCAAAGGTAATACTGTGAAGCAAACATGGAGTGATGCGTACGGAAGCACTAAGTTGTTGACACTAGTCACCGAAATTTCAATACAATTTATTCAATATGTTTGTTATAAGGTAAGTTTCTCCAATAAGATCCAGTGCCTAATAAGGGCCATCTTTTCAAACGTACCACAATAATAATAATTTTATCAACACATTACAATTTACATCCTCGATAAGTTTAATAAATGAAAACACTTCCTAAAATAGATATATGTATAAGTATTTGTAAAAACGTGGTCCTTATTAGGGAAACTTACCTTATTTGCAAAAAATTATTCCTTTATTAGGGAAACTTACCTTACTCTTTGGCAATGTGTATAAACAATAAAATATAAACAATTTTAGATGACGAGTCGAACCAGCACTCATCAAGCGAATATCAAAATTATTAATTTTATTTAATAACAAACTATATAATTTTAATTGACATATCTTTAAAAACTGTAAAACGTAAAAAAAAAATAAACAAATTCATTGCCGGCGCTCCTTAGCTTCATAATCTTATGAGAATATACATTAAACAACAATATGGACATTCACAAGTTATAAAATAAATTATTTACAAAATAATATGGGTAAAATGATAACATTTTAGTGGCTTTTGATATTTTTTAGACATAATTTTTTTTTGTTGATTGTACTTTTGTCAACACGTCGGTGAGCTAGTTGTCAACATTCGTTACATACTCAGACTTGAAGTTAGTTGATTTCCTATCACAGACTAGACACAAATAAATTCAGAATAAATCATTTAATATACAAAACAGTATCTGCTGTTATATTTCACAGGCATTTGTTAGTAAAATTATCATAACACATTTTGTTTCATACACACTTCTGATGCTATTTCAATATATAATCAATAATTGCAAAGAAAAAATGTATTATAAGTGATATCTCCTAAAAGGCGTAGAAATTGACAATTGTAAACAAATTACTTGTAAAAAAAACACAAACTACACACCCACAAATGCCTGTCAAATCTCATATATTTGGATATAGAGAAAAAAATTGTGCCATATGGCGATTTATATAAATAATAAAGTCAGATCTAAAATAAAAATCTTGAATTTCGATTGCACTACCGATTCCTGCCATATTACAGAACAACTATTTATTCGAAAAGACCTTTGAAATTAAAAAAAAAAAACTTAAATGCGAACGGACGACTGAACCTACAAAGGATTTAATAGATTCCATAATATTATATAATATGTTAATTTACAAAATAAAACCAGTGTTACAAAAATTTGATATGTACAATAAAATACAACTAATCACCTATACCTTATAGTACTCTATACACCGAACTACTGAATGTATGTCTTTTTACACACCACACGCTCGTATACTCTAAATTTTAGAGCATTTTCCAATCACACGTATATTACACGTGATTATTGCCTTTGATAAGTAGTCTTAATATTGTAACAGTACAGTTGCTGGCAACCGAAATATTTGTGTTCATTAACTAATAATAAAAAAATGTATGTAACAATTTTCAACAGAAACTTATATAACGAAATAGTATTGAGCATCTATCATGATTGCGTACAGCCCTTTTTTTAACGTCCCAATGCTGGGCATGGGCTTCACTTCAATACGAGGGGGATCAGGCCATAGTCCACCACACTGGACAAGTGCGGGTGGACTTCACATATTCTTCGAAAACTTGCTAGGTTCTCTCAGGCATGCAGGTTTTCCTTTTTCTTTCAAAACCTAAAGTTTGGAGGTCCAAACTTCAGATTTTGAAAGAGAACCGTACTAAATTTGGTTAACCATTACATGTACTGTTACAAAATGTATTCAATAAAAACAACGAATTAAGGCTGTAGTGTAAGGCTACTTAATAAAGCTCTATTGTTGAATCTAATTAGGCTTAGTACATACTTGGCTGTATATTGGACCGTTAGTTCCGTTATCCGAAACGTTTCCCAGAGAGATGAGACTAAAAAAGGTAAATAGACGTTGTTAAAGCATATAATATGACTTTTTCACTTGTAAGGGCATTGATCAAAAAAGTACTAGATATAAAATCAGCGCAAAAAATGTCCTCACCGAATGAGCGCTCATTTGAACATTTAAGCGCGCTTTTTGTAAAAACAACTTTAAGCATTGCATTTAAGGTTCAATTTACATTGTACATTTATTTCAATTGGAAAAATTACCTAAACACAATTGATGACAGTTTTAAGAGAATTTTTGCATGGGATTGTGTATGTAATACTCTTTCGATATATGCATAAGAATTAAGATAATTTGTTAACTATAATAAGCATAGCTGTTCCTTTCATATCCAAATGCTTTCACTAAATTATATTACATAGATAGGCAGTTAGGATCTGTTTTCCATATCATGTGCCTCCCATTTTATATTAATATAAAATATATATAGAATGACCTCTGTCATTAAAAAAAAATAAACCCATCCATTTACCATTTCCATCTCATCACAGACCCAAAATTGAAATATATATACATAGAAACTTTAGATTCAGTCGAGCTGTTGCACTTGCACTACAGATGTGGGCGGCGGGATCGATATCTCGTACTTGATGAGTCCCGTCCCTCGACCGGTGGAGAGCACTAGGCCGCCAACTTCTTTTACGTCACCACTGAAAAATAAAATTATATTATAAAACTGCTTAGTTTTATTGATATCCTCCTATAATTATAACAGTCCTGACCAATCTGTCATGGCAACCAACATCACTGAGACTTATCATATACGTGGCCCACGCCTTGTTTATAATATATTATAATAACAAATGTTGAGTTTCTTGCCGGCTTTTCTTAGCAGCACTGCTTTCCGAGCCGGTGGTAGATTCCTCACGGACTGACTACACTGACGCTTACATTAAACTGACGATTCAAAAGCACTTGTAATAAGTCTAATTAAATAAAGTTTATTTCATTTCATTTCAGGTATGCTTGCAGACACAAGTGCCTGAGCCCCAGCATTCGCTAGACGAGCGGTTCCCAATTTTTTTGGTCACAGAACCCTTATTGATCATAACTTTTTTAACGGATCCCCATTTTGATAATAACTAAAATGATTATCTTCTAGTTAGAATACTTTCTTGTTTGATTTGAAAGAACAAATCATAAATCAAAATATATTAATGCAAATAATAGTATTTATTGTACCAAAAAATATAACCCAACTATTGAATTTGATGAATGTATTTTTTTCACATATTTATAATAGCACTAAAAAATTAGGTTTCATACATATATTTCCAAAATATCATATATATATATATATATATATATATATATATATATATATATTTATATATATATATATATATATATATTCACTTTAAGACATATGGACCCTTCGCCACTGGTATATATCAGTATCAGTAGACTGTGGTATCAGTGAGTGTTCGGTACATACACGTGCCTCTTATGTGCTAGCTGCGAGAGGGCCTTGTCGCGCGCCACGATGTGCAGCGGCGAGCCCAACAGACGGCGCCCGCCCACAGTGCCCACAACGATCTGGTTGCCGATCACCTGACCCGATCTGTTTGTTACCTGCAAGAGAATATCATTAGAAATTAATAAAGCAATCGTGTTATAAAATTAATTTTTAAGAAAAAAAAACGTGTGTATGTACGTAAGCACGTAAGAAGTTATTACGTCTTTGGCGTAACAGAACAACTAATACTTCACACTACTAACAGAATAGCTAAAGATTTCATCCCGTATGTCACAACTCTGTTTGTAAAAGGGATGCAGCTAACTTCATCATGTCGCTTTCAGCTAACTTGATCATGTCGCTTTTTGGGTGTCGGTGTGAGCGCGCATCATAAAAATTTTACCCTCATATTTTTTTCCAAACGTGCCAAAAAAAGTATAACTTCAGTAAATGCTAGAACATTACCACTTGTATATGCCTAGTTTGGTGATCCTGCTGTTCTAATTCTAAGTTTTGATGTTGGACTTGTTGCTGATGTTGTTGTTGTTGTTGCTGCTGCTGTTGTTGCTGTTGCTGCTGTTGTTGCTGCTGGACCTGTTGTTGGACTTGTTGAGCGACTTGTTGCGCCGCCTGTTGGGCAGCTTGCTGAGCCGCTGCTTGTTGCGCTTGTTGTGTTACTTGTTGCACTTGTGTTTGTGTCTGGTAGATTAAATTATAGAGATTATTAAAACATATTTTTATAGATTTTCTGTACTGGATTTTTAACTTTAAGTAACTGCACTAGCAGCAAAATACTTTAAGGTTGACTATTCCATGAAAAAAAGGATGGTCTTTTTGATTTGGCAAATATAATTAAACCATATTAATCTTATAGCAACCTGGCATAAACCTTAAGTCTCATACAATATAAAAAATATATCATCTTATCATATCTGAAAAAAAATGACCGTCACTTTCTCATTCTGTTTTAAATTTTAATTATACACAAAACAATATCTATTTGTAATAATATCAATTCTTTACATTTCTGGGTGGCAAATCCATGTGTTGTCTCTGATGCAGCATGAGATGATTCTTTTGGAAGAAAGCTTTGCCGCACTGGTCGCAGACGTGCGTCCGCAGCGTGCAGCTGCCGTCGGGATGTCTGTAAATATATAATATAAAAAAATATGTTGTGACATTAACACACAGCCCCATCTGGTTCTATGGTAAGCTACGAGGCTTGTGTTATGGATATCAGATAGTTGATACACTACACATATATAACTTTAAATACATACATATTATAAATAATATAAACACCCATGACTGGAGTACAAACATTTGTGCTCATCACACAAATGAATGACCTCAGCGGGACTCGAACCCGCGAGTTTTATATCCCTTACTTGAAAAATAATTGATTCCCCATACAAACTTTCATCCGCCTTTTCAACCTGTCTTAAAAAATATCCTATGCCCTTACCAGAGTCTAAAATTATCTTCATACCAAATTGCACTTAAATCGGTTCAGCGAATTTTTAGTTTATCCATTATAAACAAAAATACATTTTTTCTCTTTATAATATCCGTATAGATAACTAGCTAAAACAGTGAGAAGAACTTACCTCCTATGATGCGCTAATAGACCGTGTTTCGCAGCGAATCCCTTCCCACATTCTACGCAGAAATGTAACTTGGGCCGCGGTGTTGTTATGTGATGGGAATTCTGCAAATAATATTTTTATACATACATATATATTTTACTTAATATATTAATATATTATAGCTTTATTTTATAATGATAAGTAACAGTCCCACTGTTGGGCACGGGCCTCCCTTCAATACAAGGGGTATCAGGCCATAGTGCAACAGCTGGCCAAGGGCGGGCAGACTGAGCATGTCTTTCGAAAACTGATTAGACTCTCTCAGACTTGCATGTTTCCTCACGATGTTTTCCTTCACCGCAAGACATGTGGTAATCATGTTGGAAATAATTCGCACATGAAAGTAACAAAGATGCAAGACCCGGGATTTGAACCCACTACCTACTGTCTTTTAGTCGCATAGTATGGAGACCAAATGTAAAGGGTCATGCTAAATGTTTATAAGGTTAAATTAGATAAACTTAGTGTACTTTTGGTCAGAGGCCATTTCTATATATATTTAGAAATATATTTTCTATATTATAATATAATATTGTACAACAAACAGATAATTTGATAAATTTTTAGTATATACAATTAAATAATGTTAATATATAATTGATAAAGTATAAACATACTCACTGTTGCTATTACTTGTGTGTGCACTACATTGTTGGGGTTAGACGAGATGATCTGAATTGGTTGATCTGAATATAAAAAAAAAAAAATTAAAAAAATGACAATTTATGTTACCAAATAGACACAAAAAAAACAAAAGTTTACCTAATTTAAAAAAAACAGCAAAAATATATTAAACTAGCAACCATACATATTATAAGAATGGAACTTAGATCGTAAGCAGAAAACTATTAAAGAAGAACCATTAACAAAATCGACTTGTTCAAATGTAACAAACCTGAGATATAGTGAGTGCTATTTAATTTTATCAGACGTTATTCTTATATAAATACAACTATGTATATTCTTCTCAACCAGCTTACGTCAACAAGCGATTGAAGAATTGGGCAACAAGTGGGTTCATTCATGTTCGACTGAACTTAGGTATTATTTAAAATCGAAAAATACTTTTTTGAAATTTATTTCCTTAGTGCATATTTAAAAAAAATTAAAGAAATTTATTCAAATCACTTTAAAAGTATTCCTTTCACTCATCATTGATATTGATATAAAAACTTATTTAAAGTATATCAAAGACAAATCATAAAACAAAAAATTAATAATAAATAGTAAAAGTAACAGTCCATTCGCGTTAAGAAAATAGTGAGTCGTCAAGTGCAACGGCAGGTAAAGGTGTATACAATGTGGGAGTAAAAATTCAATTCAAATTTAATATTTCAAAAGATTAAGTTTAATGGTTGAAGTCAACTTAATTATTTGAGATGAGAAGAATAATCTGAGATGATAATAACTTTATTTTGATTTGAGATAATTAACTTAATTATCTTAAATCAAAATAAAGTCATCGTATAATGATAATGACTTTATTTTGATTTATATATTTTTTGCAATCTAATTGGTCGGGGGGCGTGGCTAGGCCGGCGGGCACCGATGACTCACTATTTTCTTAACGCGAATGAACTATAGTGCATATTTGTTCAAGCAACCAACACTTGTAATTCTATTTTACAGTAGAGTTTTTCTTTTATTTTAAAAATAAAGCTTCATTTGTAAGATTTATATACAAAATACATTTTTTCAGATTTATTAAAGTAAAATGTATATTTAATACCGCGAATATATAATATAGTACATTTATATATCGGTATATAATTTTTTAATTGAATAATTCTGTATTAAAAAATTAAAAACAACTCTAGATAAATTTGTTGTTTGGACAAATAAGCACTGAGACGACGAGTAGTAATTGTAAGACAAAGAGACCGTTCAAGTATTATGTAAGCATATGTTTTAGGAAATTTCCTGTATAAGCAAAACTAAGACCATCACAAACCATTTCCTTCCCTAAATGATAAGATATAAGAATTTTTTTTTAAACTACACGCTCTTTCAGTTTTCAAATTCATTGAATAATTTTTAAAGATCCATAAAATCATTTTTACTTAACCTGAAAGAATAAAACAGATAATGGACAGTGTCCACAAATGACAATAAATATTATATATTTTTTCAAGTATGCTAGTACATTAAAATGTGGAGTTATGTTAACTCTCGAAATAATTATGTACATAAATCTAATACAAGTGAAACGAAAAGTAATTTGGTAAGATTATAAAAAAAAAATAGTAGTATTCATTTACACAAATTATTAATATTGGAATTATATATATTTGGAAACATTATTATTATTTATGATTTTTATATATTACATACGATTTTTAATATACGAGTAGTTATATAATACCTTGGTCAGCAAAAATAAGAAAATAATGGACCTCCCGGGCCCCCTCAGCCTGCTTACATAATACTTGAACGGCCCCAAAGTGTATATATGTTACTGGCCAAACTATCTATTAACTATAGTATATCCTGACACACTGGATTAATCGGTTAGGCCTAGAAAAGACCTGTTTGGCTTGAAATCTAGCTTAGCCGGTAACATCTATACTAATATTATAAAAGAGGTAAAGTTTGTGAGTTTGTGAAGTAGGGGATAATCTCTGGATCTACCGAACCGATATAGATGAAATTTGGTAAGAATATAGTTTGAGACCCTGGGAAGGACATAGGATACTTTTTATCCCAGAAATCATCCCTTAAGGGGGTGAAAACAGGGATGAAAGTTTGTATAAGGAAGCAAGCTCGTATACGCTAGTATATCCTGTCAAAGCACGCGGAGCCACAGGTGACTCGGTTAACAATTAATTTCTTAGAATTTAACCGCGAGGTGTTAAAATAACACAAGTATGTATCTGTGTAGCCAGTAGTGTGGTGCAAGTGTAGTGTACGCACTGTGCGCGGCGACGAGGCCGGGCTGCAGCGCGGCGGTGAGCGCGCACAGGTCCGTCACGCACGTGCGGTCGCCCGCGTGCAGCCGCACGTGCAGCGACAGCGCCTCCTGCACACAAATCAAATCAAAATATTATACTTTATTCCAATAGACTATTACATTTTAAATCTATACACCTATACAGATAAATTGAAGTGTCTGTTTGTAATGTCAAAATAACAGCGTTTTACTAAATGCATATGAAACTGTATACGGAACTTGTGTTTGTCCCTGATAATCTGTCAAACGGCTGGGCTGATATTGAAGGAACTTACACTGGAAGATAGCTGATACTTTTATTTTAGAAAAATTATTAGGGTTCCGCTCAGAAAAATTAAAACGTACCAAGGGACGAACCCGAGCGAAGCGAGGGTAAGTCGCTAGTTTAAATTAAATGTCAGTGTAGTCAGCCCGTGATGAAAACACAAATTACATAGACAGGTATTACAATAATTATTATTATTCCATATAAATAATATAAATGAGTTTGGATGGATGGATGTTTGTTATTTTTTCACGCTGGAACGGCTGAACGGATCTGGATGAAAGGTACAAAAATAGGTTATAGTCTGGAATAGCAAAATTTTACTTTTCATCCCAGAAAAATGACGAACCCGAAACTAAGCGAGGGTGAGTCTTATTCAAGTACCCAAATTGAAAAACTGTATGTAATAAACTCTTCAACATCCCACTGCTGGGAACGAACCTCCTCTGATGCGGGGCTCAAGGTATAGTCCACCACACCAACCAAGGGAGAGTTGGCGGACTTCCCATGCCTCCCGAAAATTTTTTCAAGAAAGTTCTCTCAAAAAAAAAAAATGTCACGATGTTTTTCTTCACATCACCTTTACATGAGGCAAGTGGCGAGACACGGGAACCCGCTTCACTTGATTTCCCAAGTGATTACCTTACCACTGGCCCACCACTGCTTACAAACTCTACAAAAAGCTCACACACTATCCAAAAATTACTTCCAACAAATATCACTAGATGGCGTTACATGTACGGTTTTTGCATCATTATGATAATTAATAAATTAAACGATTATAGCTGTTTCAAGTGAAGACTTAAAACACTTTTATGTAAGTAATATATTATTTAAAAATAAAAGGATTCATTAAATATATTCAAAACATTAATAAATAGCGATACATACCTTAGTATTGAAACATGAACCACACTCAGGACAAACATATCCCGGTGTAGCCTTCTCCGTAATTATTTGCCCGTCTGCACCAATAACCTATAAAATATATTATTTATTATTGACCAATTTAATGGTATCAAATTAGAATTCAACATTAATTCTTAAATTTAAAGCCCATAATATGAGTTTTAATCATGTAAAAGACAAATGCTTATATTTCATTAAATATATATGTAAAAACAAAAAAAAAAATTATAAAAAATCTAAGAATAAAATAATTAAAAGCATAATAGATACTAACTTGTACTATTTGTGGCTTGAATTCATCTTGCTTGATAACAGTCGTTTGTTGCTGCTGCTGTTGCTGTTGTTGCTGCTGCTGCTGCTGTTGAGCCTGTTGCTGAGCCTGCTGTTGTTGCTGAGCTTGTTGTTGAGCCTGCTGCTGAGCTTGCTGTTGCTGCTGCTGTTGTTGCTGAGCCTGCTGTTGCTGCTGCTGCTGCTGTTGTTGTTGTTGTTGCTGCTGTTGTTGAGTTTGTTGCTGAGGTTGAATTGTGGAAAGACAGTGTCTTGTCATTTTACAATGCTGTTGTAATTCTGATTTGCATTTAAAGGCGTCGCCGCACTCTAAGCACGCTACTGCACCTTCTCCTGTGTGTATTCTAAAACAAAAATACAAGCAATGTAATATAATAATGATAATAAATAGTCGTACATATGTATCAAACTCTAAATTACCAACTCGTTTGAAAAATAGTTTTTGCATTATATCTAACCCAGTTCAGTTGACTTATGTAAACCCACTAGAACCACATATATTTTTTAGCAAAAAGTTATAGTCCATTTGCATCAAGCTCACTAGGACAACCAGGTTAAACGGGTTCGAATTTTAGGCTAGACAAATCTGATATGTCCATTAGGGTGGAGCGAAAAAAAAAATTTTTTTTCTTAGCTTGGGGTAGAATTTGTAGCTTATAAAAAAAAACAAAATTGTTGATATAAAAAAAATACTCAACATTTTGAGGTGGCCCACAGATTTTTAAAATAAATAATTTAAATTTTAGGTTTGAATGAAAGTTTTTTTATGCATGATCACCTTTGAAAACATTCAAGATTTGACGAATAGAGTCCTTTTTTACTCAACTTTCACTGAAATACGTGTTATTTTTTGAACTTTTTTAAAAATTGCAATAGTGCATAACGGTGCATATCCAAATTATCTCATCCCTAACTTGAAGAAATCGATAATGAAAGTTATATTTTTAAAATAACCTAATTATTTGTTTAAGACTTATAAAGTCCTATTATAGACGGCCATGATGTAACAGAGTATGTCGAGCATGACGACAGTGCTGGCTTTATTCCAGACCTGCCTTTTCCGCAGTGGTATAGGGAGCAAGTGCAAGAGAGCTAGTATTTGTATCAGGTGCTGCAAACTTAATGTCTGTCTGAACATTTTAATCACGGTGCATAATTTTCTAGAATTAAATTAGATTATACCTGAATTTAAAGTAATACATATTCTGAAATTTTTAAAAATATTTTGTACCAAAAAACACCTTATTTTGTATCACCAGAGTCGAGTTAATTAAAATGTTGCTAAAAAACATCACGTGATTAATGTACGACCTCTTAGTATAGTATATATCACTGATCAACTGACTTCATATGAGCAACGAGGGTCCGTTTCTGCAGGAACTCCTTCCCGCAGACGGGGCAGGAGTGCGGCACGCGGCCGTGCACGCGCCCGTGGTTCACCAGCTGGAACTTGCGCGCGAACGCCACGCCGCAGTCGGGGCACACGAACGGCGACAGCGAGCCGTGGAACCGGCTGTGCATCACCAGGTGCTCCTGGAATTTGGACAATGCATTTAATTGGACTATCATAATACTTTTTTGATTTACAACACGGACATAGTGAGAAGGCTCAATAGAACTAAACCTTTTGAGTTAGTGCAGTGTTAAAACAAATAGTGTAATGTAGTGAAAGTAATAATATTATAGTGCCACCAGTAAATAACCAACAATCCCAAAACTATCTTTTCGGATTATTTCGCGGATTTGTTTTTGTCTGTAACAAGCATATATCGCCTTTGAGACGTCTAAAACTTTAGTCTCCCCCGCGGCCATGATTGCTGTAACATTCGAAACGTCGAGAACCAATAATCAAAATAAATCCGCGATATAATCCGAAAACATAGTTTTATTTAATTACGCTCTGCTATCATCAGGAACAAAAGAAAATTTAGTTTAATTCATGGAATGTGGAGAATACATTCAATTGGGTTCTCTCGCGTCGCGTTCTCTGCGTAGCGGTGTAACTTCCCAACGAAATGAAATCCTCGAACCGGTGAGGTCGCTCCGCGAAGCCTGTGAAGCTCCCAGGAAGCTTTTGCGCTTTTGGACGGAGTTAGGCTGGCTGAATTAGCCAGGATTCGCAACGTACAACGGACCAAATGCGAGTCTAAGTACGGAAATCGAGTCCAATATACAATACAATTGGGTTCTCTCATCACCAGGGACAGTATAAAATTCAATTCAATTAATGGAATATGAAGAAACATCAGGAACAATGGAAAATTCAATTCTATTAATGAAATGTGGAGAATAAATTTAATTGGTATCTCCTATGATTAGGAACAATGGAAAATTTAGTTTAATAAATGGCGTTAGTGTATAGATTTGTTATGGACGTTTTGTTTTAAATAATAAAAGAAAAAAAAGATCCCAAAAAGTTCCGCAACTTTATTAATTACTGATAAATCAGCCATTAGCTAAATAAAGATTGTAGTGTGTATTCATAGATTTTTTGTTCATTAAAAAATACATAACGAGAAAGCTAAGGCGGGAAATACGCTACGTTTCGCTCCCTTCTCAACCTACGTTATCCAAGTCAGGCCTGTCACATAATAATACCACCCACCCCTCCAGAGGCCGCGTCTCATATAATAAACAGCTGAAAAATACCTCAAAATCTTTAGTTAAGTCTAAAGTATTTAGTATTTTGTCCAGACGAAACTAGTATATCCTGACACAATTTGGATAAACCGGTTTGGCCTGAAATCTAGTATGGCCGGTAACATATATGCGTTTCACCCATAATGCTGTAATTTACAATAACAACGTGTATATACCATATGTAAGTTTTTCCAAGTACAAAAAAAACATGATCTATACATATAATATACACATATAGTATAAATATTAGTCATACCTTCTGCGCAAAGCTCTCCCCGCAGTCGGTGCACACGTAGGGGCGCTCGCCGGCGTGGTACTTGCTGTGCGTCACCAGGTGCCGCTTGAGCGGGAAGCCGCGCCCGCACTCGCCGCACACGAACGGACGGTCTCGGCTGTGCACCTGCGACAAGTCAAGCCTAGTTTATACTAAGGTCTAAGACACTATACATGATACACTCAGTGTATATATCACCGATAGATTGCCGAATCAGTGTTGTTAATTTGTTTTATAATACTATTAATTATTATACAAAACATCTACGTTATGTAAAACAGTTGAACAGCCTGCAGCTGGATTTGATTGATAGATAAAAAAAAAACACCCGAGCCCAGTGATGGTCAGTCCCTAAATATTAAAAATTTATCATACCAGCTACTTATCTAGCTTGCGGGCTTCCTTCTTGTGCATTCTTAGGTGCTTAGCAGTAGATTATATCTTACTCTAGGTCATAGACTATCTGTGTTTTAAATATATAAGTTATAGATTTTATCGCGGGTCTATTTTTTATTTTTATTTTCTACATTTTGAATGCTTTACAACAAACATGGTTATTGAAGACTAATGTAATAGGGGGATAAAAAGTTATTGTATAGTTGACGGTAGCAAAAATATAAAAAAAAAACATGATGAAACCAGAAAAGGTTTTCCTGTAAATCTAAGAAAGTATTCATTACACTTTTTATATTGGCAAAATATCAGTTTTTTCATATATAGCATGGTTATAATTCTCTAAAGACTTCGTACTAATCTCTATAAACAAAAATGAATCACCGAAATGTATGTACGCACTACGCGCATAACTTCGGATCGACTGCACCAAATTGGATAATTCTTTTTTTCTTGTGTTATTGTCAGGACAAGCTTTGTATAGGACAAAATTTTTTTTTTACTAAAATATTTTTTTTTTAAATCCCATAATATGAAAAGTGAGTGAGTGATATAGTTTTTATCCTGGCAATCAACCCATACGGGGGGTGAGAATGGGTATGAAAGTTTGTATGGGGAAGCAAGCTAGGAACGAACCCGAGCAAAGCAACGATGAGTTGCTAGTATCATTAAAATTATTTAGAGTGTTTATATACTCACTCTTGAATGTGTAACAAGATGATGTTTTAGAGTAAATGCCATTTTACACTCATGACATCTGTAAGGTCTGGCTGCTGAATGCAACAGCAGATGTGTATTGAGACAGTGCTTCCTTGCAAATGCCTTCCCGCAATGGCCACAGACATGAGGTCTTTCACCTGTAAAGAAAAACAATAGTACATATTTAATACATAAAAATAAATAAATATGTAGTCTATAAGTTAAGATAAATGACCTAATAAAACATGTGAAACTTTCTTAGATTTATATGAATATTTGACATTTTAAATAAAACTATTATTAGTTAAAAATTGTTTAAAAAAATCAAGAATTGTATTTACATTTCTGAATTTTCATATCTATATATTTTTATATACATTGTATGATGGATATATAATAATTAACGCCATCATCCATACTAATATTATAAATGTGAAAGTTTCTGAGGATGTATGGATGTTTGTTACTTGTTCACACCAGAATAGCTGAATGGTTCTGGATGAAATTTGGCACAGAGATAGATTATAGGCTGGAAAAGTACATATGTTACTTTTTATCCCAGTAAAATATATGGTTCCCATGTGATAATTTGATTTTGTATATGATGACTTTGATCAGGTATAAGTAATATTGCAATACCTACCAGTGTGTACTCTAGCATGTGTAGTAAGATGATGCTTCAGCAGAAATGATTTTCCACACTCATCACAAGAGTATGGCCGTTCTTTAACAGGCGGTGCTACTGTCATCACTGCATTTGTCATCAATTCTGTCTGCGAGTACACAGTCTATAAAATAATGTACTTAATTAAATAAAAATGTATATTAATTAAATTATGGCATGATGTTGAGCATTTTTATTAAAAATAAAGAAAAAATATCTAATTTATTTAATTTTAAATAATTATTATTAATCAATATTTTTTTTTATATTTGTTCTTTTCTTTAACAGATGATAATATTTTTTAAAAGCTTTGATAAAAATTAAACAGTTCGACTAAATTAAATTGAATCACATTGCGTGAGTCACTCAAAAAGCAACAATATTATAATATGCTATATAATATATGGTCATTTAATATCAAATGTATATATAAAGAAATTACTTACGAATAGCTCAAACTTTTATAAAAACAAAGTAAATTATATTTTTAATATCAAACATTTTTCAAAACAAAGAATAATACTCACTTTGGGAGAATTATTTGCTGTACCTGGCTCTTGCTTAGCATGTAACAAATGATGTTGGTGTACAGTCGTTGTTGGTATTGTGTCGGTTTGAGACTGCTGTGAGGTTGCTTCGGCCAAAGTTTTTATTGTACCATTCAATAATGAATGATTTAACTGTGAAGCATCTATTACTGGAGTGGCGATCCCTTGAGCCTGTAAGGCTCGCTTCATTAATATCTCATTACATTCTTCCGCTGTTAGTTGTATTGGACCTATGGGTGTCATGAATGGCTTTGACGCTAGATTTGCAGCTGTAAAAATATTATAAAATTATATTAATATGGTTAATAATATTATAACCAAAATGTATTGCATATAATTTAATACAAAATAATGTTTAAAAATTCTAACAAACAAATTATAAAAAAATACAAAATTTATGTGGCTTTTTGTAAACAAATTACAAAATAAAAATATTTATAAACCCTTACACTCACTCTGTATGGTTGCTGTTTGATTTTGTTGTGACACTCTGTTTATTGTATGGGTAGGTTCATTTAAAACAAACATAGCTCTTCTACCAGCTACAGGAGTACCTGTAGTCACAACCCTTGTTACTTGTGTTGCTGCATTAGTTACTGCCACAACTGTACCTACTTTTTCTTGAACTTGTGGACTCTTATTGGACATAACAGTCAATGTTGTTTCTGGCGAAACCTAGTAAATAAACATCTAATTATGTCATTTCGGTTTAATATTTTATTCAAATTTAAATGTATAAGATTTAATCTAGAACTAATGTTAATAAATTGTTAATTAAGATATATGTTGGTGAATGAAGGTGAAAAATACAAATTTAACTCACCGTGTTACCTAAAGTATAACTTAAACTACTAGGAGTATCCACTTCACACTTTGTGAGGTCCGCGGTGCTTGTAAAGCCCCAAGAGTACCCGAAGCCCGAGACATTACTCGTAGGCATACACATTTTCACAGATTTTTATACACTACATTAAAATAAACTGACTAAAACATATCCAGTATCCGAATAGTAAACACTACTCATGACAGCTTTGCCATTATGAGCATGTACGTACGCTTTCACAACTACTAACGCACAACGCACCCATCAATCAAATCGCCGAAACATCTACATTTAAACTTATTTCAAACATCGTAATAGAGTTTTATTCACTTATTTTATAATACAACATGAATCTAATTGTAAAAACTTATAAATTAAACTCTGCAACTCATTGAAAAAGGCGGCACGGGACGCTAAAGGCTACATTAACACACACGTAATCTGAGGTTAACGGCAGCTATAACCAAATTTTTTATGTAACACTGAACTAAATATTCATCTTTACTATCAAAAAATAATACGAAAACGACGATACACAATTACACTTGACGATTTCATGAAAACAATAATTTTATCGCACACACAAAAAACCGGACGCCATTTTATTGTTTATGGTCAATTAAGTTTTTTATGGAGGTATTTATGATATATGTATATTATCAATGTTAGTACTAATTTGAAATCTAAATATATTAATTTCATATTCTTTCTGCTTAAGGTAAAAATTTTACTTAATTAAATTTTCTCAAAATAGATAACCATGTAACGAAATTTAAAAATATACGATCTAAAATATAATTCAATTTTAATACGAAGGATAACTTTATAAATTGAAATAACTATTATGTGATATTATGAAAATGAGGAATGGGATTTATATCTATATTTAATATTATAAATTACAAATTTTAAATACTAATAATGTTATTTGATAGTTACTATTTGGGGTAAATTAAATATGTGATCTCTGAGAGCATGCTTTTTATTTGGGATAACTTAAATATAATACAGCAGTGGAAATTATTGGGGTAAAGACAAAGTCATAGACAAAAAAGAAAAAGGTTTCTCTTTTTAAGGGATGTGCACATTGCACTCTTACACCCTTCCTCAATGTGTACATCACCAAAAAAAAAAACTACAATAGTATATAATACTATAACTACATAAGTACCCATAACACACAAAAAAATTGTATACAAAACAATATGAAATTAACTCTACATGAAAACTGAAAAAACAGGGCCATTCCTTTTAAACTTTCAAATACTAATAGTTACAAAAGAAAATTTAAGAAAATAACATTTCTCTTAACTTCACAAAAACAACTTTGCTTAGACCCTTAGTACAAATATCAGCAAGCTGATCTCCTGATGATACATACTTCAAACACACAATTTTATCTTCAACCTGCTGTCTTACAAAGTGATACTTAATATCTATATGTTTCAGGCGCTTGTGATACTCTGGGTTTTTGGCAACATGAATGGCAGACTGATTATCAATGTTAATAATAAAACTTTTACAATCAACTCCTATTTCTTTTAATAAATTCCTTATCCAACACCCCTCTGCAATTCCTTTTGCTAACGCTATATATTCTGATTCTGTACTTGATAAAGATACACACTGTTGTTTGTTGGAGGACCAAGACACTGTATTACCAAAAACTTTCATGACATACCCTGACGTAGATTTCCTATCACCTTGATCCCCTGCCCAATCAGCATCTGTATACCCTTCTAACTGCACATTTACTCCATTTCTATAAACTAATTTTAATCCAACTGTTCCCTTAATATACCTTAATACTCTCTTTAATGCTTTCCACAAACTCTCACTACCACAACTTTGAAAACGACTTAAGTAGCTCAATGCATAACATAAATCAGGACGTGTTCCTAACATGGCATACATGAGACTTCCTATTAACTGTCTGCATCTTTTAGTTAATTCTTTATCTGAAGATTCTTCTTTATGTAACAATAAACCTTGTTCTATAGGTGTTGACACAGATTTGCATTCTTCCATCTTATATTTCTTTAACAAATCTTTTAAATACTGCTCTTGGTCTAATTCAATGACATCTTTCTTCCTAGTGATATTTATTCCCAGATATTTTAGATTATCACCCCCTAAATCTTTCATTTCAAATTTTCTCTGCAAAGCTTCTTTTAATTTGTTTATCTCTTGCTTATCTTCACAAATTAAAATCAAATCATCAACATATAATAGAACATAAAACTTCTTATCCTTTTTATAATATAGACAATAGTCACATTTATTTCTTTCAAACCCTTCCTTAATCATAAATTGATTAAACTTCTCATTCCAATATCGTGGAGATTTCTTCAGACCATATAGAGAGCGCTGTAATTTTAAAATTTTACCATCTTCTTTCATTCCTTTTGGCTTCTCTATAAACACCTCCTCCTCTATGTTCCCATATAAGAATGCACTCTTGACATCCATCTGTTGAATATCCAAGTTGTATTTACTAGCTATTGCTAATACTATACGCAGTGTAGGTAGTTTAGCCACTGGGGAATAGATTTCTGAATGATCAAATTTATCTTCTTGCTTAAAGCCCCTTGCAACTAGTCTTGCTTTATAAATATTTTTATTACCTTCTTTCTTAATCTTGAAAACCCACTTGGTGTCTATTAATTTCTTCCCGACTGGTAAACTAACCTCTTTCCATGTTTCATTTTTACACAATGCTTCTAGTTCTGCTTGTATTGCTTTTAGCCATTCTTCTTTATATTTTCCGTTAACTGCCTCTTCATAAGTCAATTGTTCTTCTCCTTGTGCTGTCATTGCTAAATCATAATCTTTAGTCCATGCTGGCTTTTTCACTTGTCTCTTACTTCTAGAATTCTTCTTTTCTTCATTTTTAGGAATATCTTCTTCTGCATCTAAAAATTCTTCATCTAAGTACTCTTCCATCATGTCTACTTCACTTGATGTTACATCTTCTGCAATGCTTCTTGCCTCTTCTTGCTGCTGGACATCTCTGTGTTCTCCTACTTCAATCTCGTCATCTTCTTCTTGATTTTGATCCTCTTCTTGTTCTTCTTTAATATTTTCTATCGATTCTACATTCTCTATTACCTCTTCATTCTCCGTTTCATCTTTCTCTAATGCATTGTCCAAGTTATTCTTAACTTTTACAAATACAATATCCCTATGAATTTTTACTCTTCTTGTGTCTGGATACCATACCCTGTACCCTTTGGTATGTAAACCATAGCCCACAAAAATTCCTAATCTTCCCTTTGGGTCCCACTTCAATCTGTGTTGTTTTGGTACATGTGTACATACAGTAGCACCAAAATCTCTTAACAGTGTAACATCAAAACTCTTGTTATACAACAACTCATATGGTGTTTTATCTCGAACTTTACTTTTACCTGTACGATTTATTGTAAATACTGCTGTAAACACAGCTTCAGCCCAAAGTTCTTTACCTAGACCTGACTGAATAATTAATGTTCTTGCCGATTCTACAATTGTACGCATTTCTCGTTCTATTCTGCCATTTTGTTCAGGTGTGTAACTTACTGTTAACTCATGTATTATACCTCTCTTTTTAAACAAATTCTTAACTGCTCTATTAACAAACTCTGTTCCATTATCTGAACGAAATCGCTTTATTTTACATGTAAACTCAGTTTCAAACATCTCTAGAAATTCTTCAATTTTCTCTTTAGTTTCATACTTACTCTTTATAAAGTAAACAAACCTAAAACTGCTATAATCATCTTTCAACAAAAGGAAATATGAAGAACCACCTACAGATACTTCCTCCATCGGTCCGCACAAATCCATATGTATAAGTTCGCCTGGTTTAACTGACCTACTACTACTCTGACTAAACGGTAACCTATGCTGTTTTCCCTGGATACATGGTAAGCACTGATCAGTCTGCCCTTCATATTTAATGCCCCTTAAATCTAAAAACTCTTTAACATACTTGTAATTTTGATGTGCAAACTTAATATGCCAATCTGTTAAAGTTAACAAAGCTACATCACTTAATTTAAATCTCATTACATACATTTTGTCAAACTTATCAGCTACTGCTGTTACTGAATTTTTTTTATAAAACTTACATCCATTAGAATCTGACACCATTGTGTGACCTTTATTAACAGCTGATGCTAGAGAGAATAAGTTTACTTTAAGGTTAGGTACATATAGAACATCATCCAACGTACGGGAAACATAACTAGAACCATTAAAGGCCCATACAATAACCTTTCCTGTTCCCAAAACCTCTAACTTAGTACCATCTCCTATTGTCACAAATCTCTTAGCTTTTAATTCACAAAACTCTGTAAAATACTTTTTAATAAAACACATGTGGTCACTAGCACCTGAATCTAAAAAGAACATTTTTGAATCAAAAGAATAGTTACATTCAATTTCCCTAGTAGAATGGCATAAAAAAGATTCAGATTTTGAACTCTTACTTCTCTCTTTAGGCTTATTCTTTTCACTTGAATTATTTTTCTCTGACTTATTTTTCTCATTACTCTTAATTTTTGACAATTTACAATCTTTGATTAAATGACCTATTTTCTGACAATTAAAACACTTCCTGTACCTACATTCACTTATTTTATGGCCTACTTTGCCACACTCAAAACATTTAATACGATGCCGCATACCCACCACTAATGCTGAGTCTTGAGGTGCCGTGCTGGCGCTGCTGCTGGGTATACTTCCACTACGCTCCTCCTCGACCAACAACCGCCCCATCAGCTCCTGCAAGCTCTGCTTCTCCTCCGGCATGCTCTCCCATGCAGATATAAAATGCTTATATTTCTCGGGTAAGGACATGAGTATCTTCGTTATGGCCATCTTCTCCGATACTTTCTCACCTGCTGCTTGAAGCTGCGTCATGCAATCTTCCATGTTCGCCATAAATACAGCCATTGGTTCTTTGAAGGTCAAATTGAAAAACTTCTGTTGAAGTAGATGAACGCCTACCTTTGATGACGGTTCATATATGGTCATCAGCTTCTTCCACATATCTGCACTACTGGTACAAGAAATCAAGTATCTCATCACTGTCTCTTCCACCCTGGTAACAATTACCTCCTGGGCTTTTATCTCTCTGTCATCCCATGATTCTTGTGTTTTTCCCTCTTCTTTAGGCCTCACCTCTCTGCCCAAAACAATCTCTAATAGTTTCTTCGAACGAAGAACAATCTGCGTCTGGAAACGCCACGCCTGCCAGTTGCGACCATTTAGAAGAATCGTCGTCTTATTATACTCTGAACTTGACATATTGCACGTTGCTTAATATGTGTGTAACCTCACAATTATGAAGCAAGACGTAAACGCCGCCCTCGCCGCCAAGTTTCGTCGAACCACGTTGCCTCGCAGGACTCCAACCTTTGTTGCACCGCGACTTACTCGAATCCACTTTGTTTTGTTTTCTACACGCCTCGACTTTTCTTGTCTGGGCCCATAACCTATTTGGGGTAAATTAAATATGTGATCTCTGAGAGCATGCTTTTTATTTGGGATAACTTAAATATAATACAGCAGTGGAAATTATTGGGGTAAAGACAAAGTCATAGACAAAAAAGAAAAAGGTTTCTCTTTTTAAGGGATGTGCACATTGCACTCTTACAGTTACCTATTATAACTCAATGAAAGTCTATCTAGTCTATGTATTTCTACTACTTAATCTGTGGGAACATTCATGATTTTAATTTTCATCTGTTGTTCCTGGTCTGTGATCCGTCTATGAGTTACCGTCAAATTTTGTCAACTTGTCAATGATTTTTCCAAAAAATTGTAAATTTTTCATTATTCAATTTTGTTTGATCATAAATATATATTGAAAAAGACTCTTTATTTATATAAAATAAATAAATAATTAAACATGAATCCTATGTCCATGGATAGAGATGAGCCGTCTTCTTTATCGTCGTTTTCTACAAATCATCCTCTTGAACAATTTACTTTACTCGCTAAAGGTGCCAAAGGATCAGCATGTGCAGAACTCATTAAACAAGTACTTGAAGCACCAGGGGTTCATGTGTTTGGGGAACTACTTGAAATGCCCAACATTAAAGAGGTTAGTTTTTAAACCGTTTATTAAAGATAGCCGGTAGGAAGACAAAGGATTTTTTACGATTTATTAGATACTTACCAGAAAATAATACATTACACTAATATTTTATAGGTAGTCTTGGTATTTTTCACAAGTGCAAAATTTTAAAATATCATTTATAATGTTATAATATCTATTTCAATTTTCAGCTGGAGACTGGACCATATGCTACACATTTAAAAACTCTTAACCTATTTGCCTATGGTACATATAAAGATTATCTAGAGAATAAATCAGAATATTTAGAACTTACTCCTGCACAGTGCAAAAAATTACAACATTTAACTATTGCAACTCTTGCAACACAAGAAAAATGCATCCCATATAGTGTATTACTCAAAGAATTAGATATCAAAAATGTTAGAGATTTAGAAGATTTGATCATTGAAGCTATATATGCAGGTAAATTATTTTTTAATTTTGCAGGTAAATATATAATAAAACATTTCATGAAATGATCACTTTATTCGTGATATAATCAACTATAGTCATAACATTAAATGTTTAACATGATGATTTGTTCATTTAACATTTGTTCAGTCAGATCTAATATTGAATTTGACATATTGATAAAATACATTTTTAATTAATTTATTTAGAATTAAAAACAATAATTTTTTGTCTTATTTTGTTAAGCAAACTTTATTTTACATGTGTTAATAAAAAAAAACAATATTATAAAACAAATAATAACTAAAAAAAAAAACTTATAGATATTATTCATGGTAAGCTCGACCAAGAATGCAAAAGAGTGGAGGTAGATGTGGCTCTCGGTAGAGATGCAAGGTTAGAAGATGCATCAGCTATTGCAGATGTTTTGGCAGATTGGTGCAATGCATGTGAGGCAGTGCTCAATTCTGTAGATAGACACATTCAGAGAGCTAACCATCACAAACAGAGGGCTATTAGACATCAACAGAATATTGATGAAGAGGTATGTATACATATTGTATTTATTCCTATGGTAAGATTGCTTGTGTGGGACACCACTAGTAACAAAGTAAAATATTTTTGTTAAATTGTATGTCTTGGTCCGAAGATTGTTCTTTATATACAAACCAACAAATTTTACTTCTTTAGAATACTATGTCCCCTTTAAATGTACAAATGTGTTAATGTGTTGCAAAAAATCACTTTCCAATTAGAATCATTGTCTGCTTATTTGCCATTTTGTCCTATTATATAGAAAATAATATTCATAAAAAAGTCTTATTAGAGATATTGTAAAAAAATGTAATTTTTTGGAGCAATAGATTCTGTAGAACCTATACCTTTGTACTGACTACCATATGCTTAATATAAATAAAATAGATTAAGTTTATTTTGCTCATAATAAGTATTTTTAAGTATAAGAAATTATTTATTTTAATAAGTTTTGCTAGTGGTTACTACATGTTATACAAAAAATCTTTTAATTAGATCAGAACTATGTATAACTATTTAAAAGCAAACACAACTTGCATATTCTTGTGTCTGTTTTTTAAAAACATTGTAATTAATATTTTAAATTAAACAATAACAATTTACAAATGATATAATTAATTATATAAATATCTATAATTAACAATGTGAATGTAGGTATGTATATGAATTATGATATGATTATCATGTAGGTAATGGCAATTAAAAATTAACTATTGCAATATAAAATATTGCAAAGAACAAAGTTTGATCCTTGTATTATTGTTGAATAATTGATTATTATCTAATAAATAAATATCTTGTGTCACAGTGTTTGTGGTCGAACTCCTCCGAAATGGCTCAACCGATTTTAATGATTTTCTTTTGTATATTTGGTAGGTACGAAAATAGGTCGTAAAGTATTTTTCACCCTCCTACCCCCACCACCCATCTGTATAGCGATTTTAGTATTCTTGTATGAAGATTATTATATAAATACATAGCTGTATAACATAAAGCCAAAGAGTTTTTTGTAGATTGAAGGCGGGCGTAGCCGCGGGCTCTGCTAGTAATTTATAATAATGCTTTCTTAAATTAAATATCCCAAATATTACTGGTGATTAGAAAATCTGTGATAAGTTAATGTGTATTGCATATTGATAGATGGCGCTATTTACATATATAAGTTAATTAGCAGTACCCGCGGCTTCGCCAGCGTTCAAACTCCCTATAGCTACCAAACTTCTAATCTGAAGATTGCCTGGAAATTTCATCAAATTTGCTCCAGCCGTTTTAGAGTTCATAAGAAACACATACACGCATAGATTTTTATATACATCTTATACGTTTATTGTATTTTTATGTATTCTATTTTTATATACATATGTATGGTTAGAGTTGGTAAAAAAAATTAAAATAATGCCTGTTCCCGCGTGTACTTAATTAACGTGTAATACTTCGCGTGTTAAAGCCACCTATCGTTTTTTAAGCAAATAAAAAAATAACCTAAAAATAGCCCAAATTAAGGTCCTTTAATTTTTTTGTATAGGATGAGTTATCTGATTCTGTATGAATATAGTATATAGATTAATTAAGTATAGTATAAAATAATCATAACATAATGGAAACAAATCTTAAAGCAAAACAACTCATTACAGATAATGTATATAAAGAAGACATTAAAAACTCAAGCAGAGAATGAGGAGTCGGCATCAGGCGGCAGTGAATCCCACTCAGTCCCCAAGAAGAACTCTGGCAAAGGCAAAATCCCACGAAACACGGCTAAATTTTTAAATTGGCAAAAAAACACATAACTGTATATAAAATTTGTGATATAATAATAAACTTTTAGGTATTTACTGCTTTATTTTTTTATTATCTATTTTCCGCACGTGTAGGTTTTTTTTATGAATAGCTGTTTTGATCCTAAAAGTCGCAGCATGATGTTAGATAGCCTTCCTAAAGAATTGGGCTATTTAAATGCAAAAAATATTTTCAAATCAGAATTCAAATGTTTTACAAAATCTCGTGAGGAAAGAATTTTAAATGATAGTACAAATAATTATTATATACTAACGACTCACCCTCGCTTCGCTTCAGGTTCGTCCCGAGACAAATCTATCCCAAAGCAACCATTTACATAGCATACATTTTTCTGGGATAAAAATCATAATAGTACTTATAACCATTAAATATAAAAAAAATACAGTCGAATTGAGAACCTCCTCCTTTTTGAAGTCGGTTGATAAGTATTAATAAACTATGTGCCATTCCAGACTATAATCTATTTCTGTGCCAAATTTCATCCAGATCCGTTCAGCCGTTATGACGTGATTGAGTAACAAACATCCATCCATTACAAACTTTCACATAATACTAGTATGTTCATAAACTGTCTGATAGTGAAAATTAGGTATGTTTAATTTCATTTACTATTTTATATGCTGCGTTTAAGCTTAGCTAAGATACAAGTACTGTAGTGATGCGCGCGCTAATGAAGTATTGTTAACATAATATTAAAGTTGATAATACTTTCTAATAGGTAACTAGGTAGGTATTCCGCTTTTAAATGTTACGAAATGCATTTACGCATACCACCTGTATATACAGGAGATTATGTGAGACTCGCCGGACAGACAGAAAAACCAGCATTAACCACTAAAACCCAACAGAACCTCCCCCGTCTTAATAGGGCGTGGTAGGATCGCTTACGCACTCAAACACTACGCCGCCACGGCAGTTCTGCCGAAGCAGACCACAACAACCATAGGGCTGCAACAACGGTCCACTCTGTTGTCAGAGAAGTACAATGAGCAGCCCGCATGGTGGACAGTGCCCACCGAAGTGGGCTATCTCCCTGTCCCTTATATTCACACCTGGCTGGATTGCCGGACGCTAATGAAATATTAATAATTTTTAATAATAGTTCCACAATTTATCTTTTGTTCCAAAAACAAAATCAATGCAAAGGGTAAGGTATGGCTAGGGAATAGCTAGATATTCCTAACCGATACCGAAATGAAAATTTTCCAGTGTGTTAACCAGTATACAGTTTATACCTATTGTTTGTTCAAAGAAAACGTGTAATTGAATAAAAATTAAGAAACGTTTTCAAAAACTTTCACTTTTATATACTAATACAGCTATACTCAACCTGTGGCCCGCGGGCCGCATGCGGCAGCATCAAAAATTGCATTATAACATATATTTGTTAAAAAAGTAACTACATCGTTAACTTAGTATTACGTTTTCATTAAGACCTAAATAACTTTGCTTGCGGCCCTCGACACCATGACTGAAACGTGTTTGTGGCTCCTATAAAAAAAAGTTGAGTATGGCTGTACTAATAGGATGATGAAAATAATATCCTATATTCACCGTAAAGCCATGTATGTATGTACCTACTCAAGCGATTACTGAGATAGGATGAAGAATGATTGATTTATGTAGAGTAAGATACCAGAGCCCCTAAATTTTCTACATCTTTTTAGCAAAACTAAAATTTTGAAGCTAACATAAAGTTAAGAACGTATGTCAACTTGCTAACTTGAAAACCGTTACCTTCATCACTTTAACTTCCGCTAGGCGCTTTCAAGTTCAGATTACAATTAAGATAATATCCTCTATAACTCCAAAAATTAATTGAATTAATTTCAAAATGTTGTAAGACTCTATAATTTTTAATATCTCTTTTCTACCTATAGGTAGTGTGTTAGGCCAGTGGTTTGTTTGGTAAACAAAGTGAAGCGGGTTCGAATCCCGGGTTCTCTGTCATTCTCACCTTTTTCAACATGAGCATTGCTTCGCTTATGGCGAAGGAAAATATTGAGTAAACAATAACCAGCATGTTTGAGAGAACCAAGCAAGTTTTCGGAAGACCTGTGAAGTCCGCCAATCCGAACTTTACCTGTTTTAAGGTAAGGCTCGTGCCCTACAGTGGGACGATAAACAACTTTCCCTGGTTACAAGACATTCTCCAAAAGTTGGACTTCCGTAGGTATCTACTATCGTTCTAAAATTGTAGCGCATGTAGCGTCCGTTCTAAGCTCTAACCAGAATATTAGTATAACAAATTAGAACCCTTTACTATCCATTTTGAAAATAAATAAAAAATATCTTCAAAAAGGCAGAATGTGTCATATCGTTTTCATGTATCCCATCAGTGTGATTAAGAAATTAAGTACCTTATACTTTATATTTTACTATTATGACTGATGGTAACTACGAAATATAAGAGTAAAACATTTCAACTTTTATGGCGAAGAATTATAATGATTCATAAATTCTTGAATGTTCTCTCTTAAAATTGAATGAGTTCATTATGAATATTGTAGAGCACTAAAAACTCTTGTTACACGTTTTTAGCTACTAAAGTATTAAAGGAAAGCTGTAAAACAATAAAATTACTGCGTATAAAAGTATTATGAAAAATAAGTCAATTTTTTCACAAGGTCATGTTATTTATTTTGAGGAACTACACATCTTAACTATGTAGGTACCTAAAAAGGGAATTTTTGTTTCAAATTCTGCGTTATTCCGCGCAGTAAGTATTATTGTTTTGGGATATTAGATAGTCTAAATGCCGACCCAATCATGTGTATGTGTATTCAGCCCTTTTTTTTAACGTCCCACTGCTGGGCACGGGCCTTCCTTTAGTACAAGGGGAATCAGGCCATAGTAATAAACAGGTTTCTTCGTAAAAATTAAAAAATAATGGCATTCATTTAAAATAATAAAATAAAAAAAATGTAAAGGAATCTTACTAGTTCTTAGTAACTATAAATATATAGACATTTCGCTGCAACATTCATCTTTTTGAAAGTGATGAAACGATCTGTCGAAGGAATTTTTATCTATGCATGATATACGATGGAGGTAACAGCGTAAGTTTGAGAGTTATATATAGAGGGTAATTTTTGAAACTATTCCATATCAGATTCTGAAGATTTTTGACGTAAATCACACCGAAACATACGGATACGAAATAGGTTGCATACGAAATAGGCTGCAACTTGCATTCGGTTGCCATAGCAACCGTTGTTACTGAAAAATGATATACATTTATCCTTCATTTGCTATCTTCAAAGATTAATATTTTTACTAATTTGTTTTCAAATACAAAAATAATCATAAATAAAAAACAAAAGGACTAAATGCAACTTGCCGAAATAGACATTTCACGTTAAATCACGGCGATCTGCCTCGACACAGTCCCACACGTTTTTTTTCACTAATAGGAAGCTACACTATAAGTGCTATGTGCCATTTGTACGAAATTTGTGAGAAATCCTAATACATAACTTTATTTTGTTAAACGCCTTCTTCGTAGAAACTTATAGTCTTGTAGTAATACTTATTTTTCGGCTCTTCTCTTTGCTTTATTAGTTTTATAGATTAGAATTGTAATTTAAAGACTTTTTATAATATAACTATTATTTATTTGTGAAAAAAACAATGTGTGTTAACACATTGTTTTTTTCGTATCCAGGCAACGGACGGCAATTGTTTCCCAACGCTTATTATCTCCAATTTCGAGTCAAAATAATATCTATATTCTTAATAAAATACATATTTTTTTTTCTGAGCGGAAAGTGTCATTTGAGATACCAAAATATTCATAATATATGTAGTTTCGTGTTCTATTATATATAATATTTACACATATCCGCTCTATTAAATACTAAAAATATCTAAAGTCGGTAACAATTTGAAGCCGGAGTTAAGACTCTCTTTTGTAGGCAAAAGGGAATCAAAAAAGCATACGAGCGAAGTGAGAATATATCGCTAGTGTAGCTGTAGGGATAGAAAATAGTCGAATCTAAACAAATTGGCCCCAAGGGGAGTAAAGTAAACGTGAATGTAAAAGTGCGTGAGGGAGGAGAGAGTCCCAAACGTATTCACGCCACGGATCTTACATCGAGTCGTTGCTCAATAAATCTAACAAACTACCCTTGTAGAGCAAATATTGGGTAAAAAGATAAAAGTTGGCTCTACATTTAAACTTAGAGATCGGTGTATTTTTAGTTTTTACTCGACTGCGTCGAAGTTCAAATGAGGGTTATGTATTTAACCTGTATGTATGTATGTATATATGTATCTTCGATGTTATGTTACCTGGTAAGTGGTAATCACTAAACGGTTTAACCAATTTTGATGATTCATATGTCGTTAGATTGATTCGTCTTTTTTAACAAGTTTGTATTACCTGTTCTAGCTATAACAATTGTCGTCAATCTAACTTTTTAATAATTATAATAATTCGGTCCATAGTTTAATTTTTATGATAGACAGAAGTCTTTTAATAGGAATTTGAAAATGATAAATAACAATATATTAACATCATAATATTTTACTTTTGAATAAAAAAAAATATGTTCCTATATCATAGACAATATTTTAGAATAAATGAACGACTTGAAGATTTTAATAGCCTCGTGTTTTACTAGCTTTACTCGCGTGCTAGATCCGTCATTAAAATAATTTAGCTTACCTGAGTTATCTCCAATTCTATGTGTATTTATTAACAAATTACATCTTAAAAGAGTAAATAATACTCGATCACACGCAAATTTTCGCATTTATAATATTTGTATAAGTGTCATTGTATATATATCTTTGGATGTCCCAACTCCCAAGATAAAAAGTACTATTTTATTCATTTTGTTTGAATACCGCAATATAGCTATGTTGTATTGTGCGTTATGTTCTTTCTTTTCGTTTGTAAAAATGTCGGTTTGCAAACGTTTCGGCGCGATGGACAGGGATCGTTTTATCTTGAAGTCATTTCGGATGATGGCGTCGGCATAATCTCAATCTTGATATATTAGATCCTGGCGGCTTGTAATTTATTTTAACAACCTAACTCAATTTGTTTGTGAATTTACTATTAAAAAAATGCTTAATGTTTAAAATTAAGATATAGAATTTCTAATTTATTAGCTTCGTTGCTCTTTTAAATATATACCTACTAAATATAAAAAGTTTGTTTTTGTCTATTTGTTTGAATCGCTAATCTCCGGAACTTGCCGTTTAATTTAAAGAAAATGTTGCATTTTATAGCCTACTTACTCATTAATGAAGCATATACTAGCTCTACCTACCTATCTCAACAACGAGTTTATTATTTTTTATTATTATTAGAAGCGAAGGAATTATTTATAAATTAGATATGTATGTCATATGTGGGCGACGCTGCATAAACAAGATACTTATTTGATGTTTTTGACACTTCAATGGCTAATGAAAATTGAAAAGTATAAGAAGTTTTTGTTTTGACGAGTAAAATAGTGCTTGAGTATCTTCGTGGAAGAAAATAAATACAATAAAGCTTTTTGACGACACATTTGGCTCAGTTTGTAGTGACCCCACTTGCTGTGCCAGCGGTCGCGGGTTCGAATCCCGCTGGAGGCATTTAATTGTGTGATGAGCACGAATGTTTGCAATCCAGTCATGGGTGGTTATATTTATAATATGTATGTAATTAAAGTTATATATGCGTAGTGTATCAACTACCTGGTATCCATAACACAAGCCTCGTAGCTTACCATGGAACTAGATCGTGATGTGTGTTAATGTCCCAACATGCTTATGTTTATTTGTTTATAAATAATTAAAAAATCCTATATTTGAACATGAATATTATTTAATTTTATATAACACTAGCATTGCCCGCGGCTCCGCCCGCGTTCAGATAACCAAAAACCAAATTCTTAGGTTTTACATATTAGTACAGTCTTACATTGCAGTTTTTGTATTTTCTCTCGAAAATAAGATATTTTTCCGCGGTAAAAAGTATCCTATATGTTGACCCGGATAACCAGCTATCACCATACTTCATCAAAATCCCTCCAGTGGTTTTTCTGTGATGCGGTAACAGATAGACAAAAATTCTAAAAACTATAGATTCGGCCTATGTATCGATAATAATGTTTATTTCAATAAGAATTTTCCAAAAAATATTTAATGTACAGATTCGCCTTAGTTACAATTTTATTATATAAGTAAGTCTAAATAGCCAAATATTTAAACAGTAATCAATTGTTTAATTTGGGAGCAAGCTAACATAGTCTGTAGTACTAAACTAGTGTCTTCATTATCCTTCGTAGGTTTACAGACATTCCTAGATTTCCCCCGGGCAAGAGTACAGACATGAATCGACGACAATATTTCTTTTCAAATGCATTTGTTCTTTCATATGTGAAAGTTCTTCTTATAAAATACACCTTTTGTAATTCTAGCTCTATAAATAATAAAATTATAATGAGACCTAAGTGGTCTTAAAAATTTAAAATTTTAGAAATTCGTGTAGTTACTGTAAATTATTTTACGGTGAAACTGCAACTTAAAACTTTAGAAGTTTAGACAAATTGAATAAAAATGAGTTCATTAGCTCACTCTAAAATTAATTAAAATCATGAAAAAAGTAAGAAATAAATGAATTGCAAACGTTTTGTACATGTCACAGTAAAATAGGAAAGGGCGTGAAATATTTCTATTAATCTATAAGTAATATTATAACGAGGTAAAGTTTGTGAGTTTGTTAGTTTGTGACTTTGTAGGGGGTAATCTCTAGATCTACTAAACCGATTTAGATGAAATTTGATAAGAAGATAGTTTGAGATATATATTTGAGATAGACATAGGATACTTTTTATCCCGAAAATCATCCCTTAAGGGGGTGAAAATGGGGATGAAAGTTTGTACGGGGAATCATCCTAGGGACGAATCCGAGCGAAGCGAGGGTGAGTCGTTAGTGTATAGTGTGTAGTGTAGTGTAGGTATCGGGTAGTCAAAAACAAACCTACAAACAAATTTTCGTATTTAAATAATAATATATTATTGAAAAGTTTATAGTTATTAAGGATTTAAATAAAAAAATCGTAGACTAATAACTTAGTTCTGATCTAAGTCAATCACAATAAAGCTTTGGCAGCGCCACTGCTTAATGCACTCGTAAAAAGAAATGTGATTGTTCTGTAAGTACGCGTAAACGGAGATTGATGACTCAATGAATAAAGATCTTGAAGTACTAAATCTTGCTTTAAAAATGTCGGATTATTTTGTGTTTAAATTTTTAATAAGAACTTTAAAACTTTCAACTTTTAAAAATATTCTTTAACTTTTAGTATTAGGCATTTTAATTTATTTTATTAGCAATTAATAATAATAAATAATTAAGAATTTTGTCTAAATAAATGTCTATATATAGCAGTGGTAGCCCAGTGATTGAGATGAGAATCTGTACATTAAATATTTTTTGGAAAATCTTATTGAAATAAACATTATTATCGATACAGAGGCCGAATCTATAGTTTTTAGAATTTCTGTCTGTCTGTCTGTTACTGCATCACAGAAAAACCACTGGAGGGTTTTTGATGAAATTTGGTATGGTGATAGCTGGTTATACGGGTCAACATATAAAATACTTTTTACCGCGGGAAAATATCTCATTTCTGAGAAAAAAATACAAAAACTGCAATGTAAGAGTATACTAATATGTAAAACCTAAGAATTTGGTTTTTGGTCATCTTAACGTGGGCGATGCTAGAAAGTTCTATAAAATTAAAACATACGTTTACTGTTACTGTTCGTAAAGTAAAATAGCTGAAGCTCCAACAACGCACTTAATTTGTATTCCGAACCACATTCCCCATTAATATACGTAAGGGCTCATTTAGCGAGCTGATGTACCCTTTTGTACTGGAAGGGATGGTATAATGCGTGACATCAAACATCTTCAGATCCATTATGTCAAGAATTTGTCATAAATTGTCGCTCAAGCTCTATTGATGTAGCACTTTCGTTCTTACATAATGTCATCAGAAAATTATATTCTTTAAGTATGGAATAATGATTTATGATATGAGAAATGGCACTATTTTCTCAAAATGTCTCCAAAATTATATTTTAGGTAATAGGTACGGGTATACTGTAGGTACTGGATATATTAATAATAAAGTCCTCACTAATTTTGCTTACAGTTGTTAATTTTACTGAAATTGGACAAAGCGCGCGCTGGACGCACAAGTGTGTGTACACAAGTACACTGTCTAATGCTTTTACTCCCACATTTGTTCGGGACGATATTTGATACGACGGACGAGAGATAAGGCGTAGGACTGAAAGCTTTACGTGCTTTCTGAGGCGCGGTTACACAACCGCAGATACTAAGATACTGAGCTCCCGGATTCATGACCTTGGTCTGATCAAAAATTTTGCTAGATTTTTCTGCTATGAAATACTCAGTAACAACCCGGAGTTCTAAAATCATTCAACATCCTTGTTTTTAAAAATATTTTTTACACTTAAGTATTTTTTTTTAATTTTTATAGTTATGCTTATTCTTCTCAAAACCTCTTCGCAAATCCTTTCGTTTGAAGCCCATATCATAAGGATCGCTATGGAAATTATAAATCGCCATTTTCTAACGTCCGCCAAATTGGATTAAAAATGGTGACATTCAGGTAATCTTGATTGTATCAGGAATCAAACTAGTGTGCCAAATTTCAGCTCAATTGGACACTGGGAAGTGGGTCCAAATCTAACTTGCAAAATTCCATGACCATGTCACAGACCGGGATAGGTGAAACTAAAGAAAAGCTTGTAAAAAGGATATCAAATTTGACATAGTAGAAAAAGTCATTAATTTATATATATTTTTTAATTACAAACAAAATAATGTTGTACATTGGAATGCTTATAAATTAATATTTTTATTTTTCTTACAAGATATAAACTTAGATTAGCGTTAACAATGCAAATAATATATTTATAATTTTATCAATGCATTATTTTTATTCATTAATATACAAAAACTCAAGATACACTATTGGCGTCTCAAAAGTGTCTTCAAAAACAAGCGCATAATTCGAAATTGTGCACTTTACCAAATCTTCTTTGTTCATTGTTTTTTGAATGACAAAATTAAAACGCACGTTGTTTCGTTTAAAAAAGTACTTTATGCGGTGTGCGTAAGTTCGAATTTGCGTTTAGACAATTAGAACTTTCGTTTTTTTAATTATATTCTTTGGTTTGAATTAACGTCACATGTCGACGCCACTTTTTGAAGAGATATTTGTTAGGAAATGTGTATCTACGTTTTTATATATCAATGTTTTTATTATATTAATTATTTTCATATTAATATAGCATTTAAAATACAAGTGATACTGGAATTCCTAAAATACTGTGCTTATTCTATACAATGACTATCACGAACTCAACGAGTAGGCGGTTCTAGAAAATATTATTATAATTATAAGTATATATTTTCGAACACCATTATTTATTTATAAAGCTTAAGTCGCATAGACTAAATTAGTAACTTTAACCAAATTTAAATAACCTCATCAAATATGTACTATTTAATATTTTGAACACCGTTTACAGTAACTTATAAAATAAAAAGTTATATCGAATCGTGTAAACGGTCTCTGATAAAGACTTTCTTATCACAAACAGTTAAGCGCACATTATTATAGTAAAAAAAAAGAATATTTTTTTAAAATTAAAAAGAAAATGGTATTTCAAGAGATTCAGAAAGTAAAAGATAATTCACTGGCGCTTTAAGGAATTAGTTTTTAAGGCTTAGTAAATTTTATACAAAAAAAAATACACAAATACCTACCATTATAAGAAAAAAAACCAAATATTGGTATAAACTAACAAGCATTTTGCAGAACAAAATAATAAGGAGTGTGTATTTTATTTACTCCTGCAGTAACAGTATTGGGAGTGGGTCCATGCCACTCTATTCTATACTTATCTAGAACTCGTGAAGCCAACGTAGAGAGTATTTTGCCAATAATACCAGTCGCTGGGCAAGTTTCTCCTAATGGCATATAAGCGTAGGGATTAGCCCTTGAGGCTTTTAAGGGTTCCCAAGGTTGATGGTTCCAACGGTCGGGTATGAAGGAGTTCGCGCGGCCCCACTCTTTTTCATTCTTGCTTGATATACCGTGGGCAAGGACTATGTCCACCTGTGGGATTAATGAATACGTTTATTGTTATTTTGTATGTATAAACTAGGTTTGGTATGATATTCGTTCTAGTTTGGAGAATTTAGATGAGTTGATATATTGATAGTTCGTCGAGAACTCTAAAGGATTCATTTAGCGCTTATTATGCACAAAAAATATTCATTTCTAGTTAGATAAGAATTTTTGGAAAGTTATCAATATAAATTTTTGCCCGACTTAAACTTCTACAATCCCAAATATAAATTAAAGCTCATTACCAACGACAGTACCAATTTATCACTACATAAAAATAATAACCCAACTCACCCCAACTGGTACTTCATATCCTCCCACAGCCAGCTCCTCAACACTCCTCCTCACAACTCCCCCGGTCGCCGGATACATCCTCATCACCTCCTTCACACAGGAGGAGATGTATGGGAGGTCCTGAACATCCAGACCCTCAGCAAGTGAGGCTTTAGCCCAGATCACTTCGTCGTGGGCTTTTTGTTGCCGCGCCGCGTGAAGGGAGAGTTTGTGGAACATGGTTATTGCTGTTTGGGCGAGCTATAGGAGACAATAAATTTGAATAATATGATTTGATGGATATACATCTAATTTTGTTTACGTAAGGACTAATATTTGATGAGTATAAGCGAGAACTGAATTCTGATCTTAAAAAATTTGATATTATATTTTTTTCAATACGAAAGAGCTGTTTGTCTTTCGAGGTTTACAACATACACCTATGAGACATAAAACTGCGTCAGACTCTTAGTTAATTACAGATTTTAGTAATTTATAAAGTTACAAATATCTATCTATAGGCATAAAGTCCCTTCTAGCCATTTTTATGCCAAGAAAATACAGAATTTATTGAAAATTGTTCTCCCTTAGATATCTCTTAAATAGAAGTATTCAATGTACAACAGTGACTCGGTTTCTACTTAATTATATGTATAGAAGCGGGATAAAGGATTGTTCCTAATCATATCTGAAAGTTGGCAACATAGCACCGAGTTATAAGTTAATTTACAATTTTAAAGTAGATTGTATCGATGCTGCAAACTTTGTACGTAATGTAATAAAGGCAAGGCGTTAAAAAAAAGACGAAATATAGTTAAAAGATAAAGAATCTGTGAGGCATAATGCTAATCAATGCCATTTTTATTTTTTATTTAATCAATTAAAGTTTTATATTTATAACAGAAATATGTAGTAAATGTACCATTTAGTTCATTTACTTTGTGAAAATTATTGATAGCTAATATAATAAATGCGACATTTTGTCAATGCGTGTATGTATGCGTGTATGTATGTATGTATGTATGTATGTATGTATGTATGTATGTATGTATGTATGTATGTATGTATGCATGTATGTATGTATGTATGTATGTATGTATGTATGTATGTATGTATGTATGCATGTATGTATGTATGTATGTATGTATGCATGCATGCATGTATGTATGTATGTATGTATGTATTTGTCACTTCGTAATAAAAACAGAAATAACAACACACGAGCGTAGTCGTACCTATATGAAAACTAGTTATTAATAATTTCCAAATATTAGCATGAACGCTTTCATATAAATTAAGTAATACTTACAGGATCAACGCCCGCCAGGAACATGTCGGCGGCGAGTGGGAGGATGCGTCGCTCGAGCGGCCGCAGCTTATTGAGCAACACTTGTTCTGATCGTAGCTCTGTGTTGTTTAGTTCGTTTAATGCTTTTAACAGGAAATCTTCAGTTAAGCTGTAAAAAATGAGGCTGTGATATTTTATGAAGAATTTAATATTACATACTAGCGACTGATCTTCGCTTAGGGTGCATTCTTAGATGCCTAACAATAGCCTATGCCTATGTGTTATCCTATGTATTAAATTTGTTCGAATCTGTCCAACCGTTTAAACATGAAATAGTAGCAAACATACACACACGCACATACAAAAGGTCGCAATTATAATAGTAGTTTTGAAGATAACAACAAACAGAAAGACAGACAAAAATCTTTTTAATGGCTGTTCTGTTGTTTAGTATAAATTCAATATTATGTAGATATTTTGGTCTCATGCTAATAACGATATGAATTCAATATGTAGTTATTTTAAAATATCAGATTGTGTATAAGCGATTCCGAACCCGACCTCGATCTATTATAAAGCCCGGAAAATATTTTTATTTTTTACTAGCAGAACCCGCGGCTTCGCTCGCGCTCAATCTAAAAATAACTCTAAGATGGTAGGTTTCATTCAAACTTCCATCCGCTATTTTAGCCCCTTATGGAATGAATTTCGAAAAATGCTAAAACACGTATTTAATTAATTCTATTGAAGAGCATTTATACCAAGTTTCAAGTAATTCTGATCATAAATATTTTTTCGGATTGTATTATTACGTGTTTCCCGTGGGAAAGACATAATCTCCCGCGATAAAAAGTAGCCTATGTCACCCTCCAGCCCTCCAACTATCTTTAAACAATAAATCACGCAAATCGGCTAAGCCGTATCGACGTGAAAGAAAGACAAACAAACAAACAAACAAACAAACACACTTTCACATTTATAATATTAGTATGGAAGTATGGATAGGAGGATACCTCTTAGTAAGCCTACAACGCATACTGTATTTTGCCCTCGGGATCTATTCTCGCTCGTGTGACACAATCTCTATGATAAATGTTAGTCTACTTTCGGAAATAGATACCTATATAATTATATATATAGTGGGAATTTTCTTGTAATATTTTTAAATACAATAAAATATTAGTATCATTTTGAATAATATGACGTAATGACTCCCTATGAAGTGTTATTTGAGGTCTTATTTACGAAATATCAAAGCCTCAGTAGCCATTTGTCTGTTCTTGTTTGTATCGGTTTTAATCAGACTTTTATTTGCTAGTAGATATTTCAGATGATTGAGTACATATGTTTGTTCATATGCCGAGGGGCGAGCTAAAACTATGAGTATCATATATTTGCCTAATCTATATGAAGGTATGTATGTATGTATCTATACTTCTATACTAATATTGTAAATGTGAAAGTTTGTGAGTATGGATGTAACTCTTTCACGCCAAAATGGCTTAACGGATCTGGATACAATTTAGCACAGAGATAGATTATAGTCTGGCATAGCACATAGGCTACTTTTTATCCCGGAAAATGTACGGTTCCCGTGGGATAGATTTGTATTTGTTTTTCTAGAGGCGATGAGCGAAGCGAGGGTGTATGTATATTGTGTATATAAGTATATTTACACTGATATGTGAACTTCCTTACAAAAAGCAAGTAAAAATCACATAACATAATACCTAGTTGGAATAATCACGCTCAGAATTTTAGCGTAACAAGTTTGAAACGCAGTAATTGTCGTCCACTATCGCGTGAGCTTCTTGCTATAAAATTTGCATTGTATAATTTTTGGCATATATGAAATAAAATTCGTACGTATTTTCATGCTTCAGTTGATATTTTTGAATGCTTTTAAAATTACTGTAAATATTTCTGAGATTAATTATAATAAACAATAAAAATATTTAATAAATTGGTCAGTTTGGTGGTTTGTCTATACGTATTATATAGGCTAGAAATTTTCATACCTACTTTATATCTCGGGAAAAGGGCTTGAGAAAAACGGCGTTTAATTTTAGAACAATTTAATTTTAGAGTCAAAATCTATTATTTATTGTAGTAATACGAGAGAAGACCCGCGGGATCAAATTAGTCTATAAATATCAGAAACATAATTGATGCTAATTATAGGTTGATATAATTAGATGAACTACAATTGTGTGCAGTTTCTATATGTACAATATACTTATAGATATTAGTGTTGTTAATATTGTGGTCAATATACCAGCAAGTGTAGATTACAGGGAAATATCTGATGCATTACATAAGTGCTAGTTCAATACAGCATGTAATTAATACTTGGCTAGCAACTATTATAAATAATTTGTAAAGTGTAACTGTAATTAACTATAATCAGTAATAAATGTGTAAGTTTGTATGTTCGTTACTTCTTCACGTATTTTGATGTAGTAGACACTTAGACTTGGAGCAATACGAACTCTTTTCTTGATAGTAAAATTTGCCGAAATAAATACAAACGGAAGTGATTCCACTTCCGTTTGTATTTATTTCGGCAAATTTTACCCGGTCGAAGCGAAGTTAAGGCGCCAGCAATAATAATTAACAGATATGATATTATGTCTCACTAAATAACTTTACTACACATTTAGGAATTTAATACAACCTGAAAATAATATACATATAAATTAAAGTATCATTTTGTGAAAATATAATTTGATACAGTATTTAACGCTTAAGACTAATATACAACTGTTATTTTACGTAGATGTTCTATGAGAATGAAATACTTCCTCGGTCCAGACCCATTCAAACTAACAGCAATAAAGTTTTATTTTACAAAATATTTTTAAGTAATACTTTCTTAGATTTACGCGAATATTTGACATTTTAAAATGAATCTGTCTTTTCGAATTCGGGATAGTTTCTCCGGTGGGCCGTGACCTTGTTTGCTGTAAAGCATTCGAAACTTCAGGAACCAAAATCCTATCCTATTAATATTATAAATGTACAGTTGTATGGATGTTTGTTACTTTTTCACGTAAAAACTACTGAATGGATTTTAATGAAACTTTATAATAATATAGCTCAAATATCAGAATAACACATAGGCTACTTTTAAACGGAAATATGTACGGATCCCGTGAGATAGATTTGTTTTTGTTTTTAGTATAAAATAAAACCGCGACAATATCTGAGTAGAGTTAGATTTTAAAATATTATTACGTAAGTTACACATATCATTTAGCTACTCACCTAAAGTGTTTGTCAAAGGCTTTCAAAGCACTATTAAAGGATTTAGATTCAGGCTTCAGTGTGTGTTCGCTTCTTACTAAATAGTTTTCATTGGCAATCTCTAAGGAGCATCGTACGAATTGTTCGGCTGGAGTAAGTTCGGTCAAACAACGCTTCGAGAGCGAGCAGAGATCGTCTATGTGGTCGTCCATCGACGTCTTCTCTGGTTTTCTGAAAGATATATTATTGTTAGACAAGGTTTATTATTAACTAGCGATTCACCCTCTCTTCGCTCAGGTTCATCCCTAGATACGTTTTACCGGTTAGTATGGAATGGATAGACTACCTATAGGTATAATATATAGCCTATAATAGCCTTCCTCCGTAAACGGGTTATATAATGCAAAAAGAATTTTCCAAATCGATTTAGTAGTTCCTAAGATTAGCGCGTTCAAACAAACAAACAAACAAACAAACAAACAAACAAACAAACAAACAAACAAACAAACAAACGAAGCAACTCTGCCTCTTTATAATATTAGTATAGATAAATATTTTTTCAGTACTAAAATTATACACGCTAAAAACGTTTCTTAGCAGCTGTGCGTTTGTACGTGCGTAGTGCAGTAAGCAAAACTTGTATGTTTAGGCGTTGAAAGTTCCTTAAAGCTATATATGATCTGAACATCCCATAAGCTACCGTCTACGTATGGGATCCCTAGTTTAAAAGTTCCCTTAAACTAGCCCCTAAATTAAATTTTGTTTTACCATCGTCAGAGCCCGTATTCTTAGTACCTATATTTAGGTGGCATTTTAACATTTAGGTGACCCCTAACTGTCGGTGAAACAGAAACTGTCCCCTAACAGCCCCCTAACCATGCTTAGGAGATCCCTTAAACTAAGCTGACGTTGGTGAAATCGGCCATAAGTCTATCAAGTTGCATTTATTTTGCTGATTCCGAATCTGCATTTAAGTCATTTTTGACCAAATTGTTAGTTAGGGCTTTCTTTATTATGATGGCAGATTTCAAAACCAGACATTTCAATTAAGATGTCGTGAAAGCAAGATAAGATGCTGTTAAATTCAGTGTAAACTTTTCTTTTATTTACGATTAGAAATTGGAATTAAAGCATCAGTTATATTTTTTATATTTTATGGTTCGAGTGTCTTTTAAATAAATTAAATCTACTTATTTATACTAATATTATGAAGAAGTTAAATTTGTGAGTTTGTGACGTTATAGGAGGTAATCTCCGGATCTACTAAACCGATTTAGATGAAATTTGCTAAGAAGATAGTTTGAGGCCCTGGGAATTATCCCGGAAATCATCTCTTAAGGGGTGAAAATGGGGATGAAAATTTGTATTGGGAAGCAAGTTAGTAACGAACCCGAGGAAAGCGAGGGTGATTCGCTAGTTGATAATAATTTTGAAAAAAAAGATAAATTAACCTATAAATAATTTATGGAAACGTCGCTTTCTATACTTATATTTATTTTCTTACTTAGTATTAATTATAAATGTAAAATTATCAAATATACTTTTACATCTATCATCTATTATTCACAGTGTTATAATAATAATAATATCATTTATTTCAACCTTCAAGGATCATATTTTGTTAGTAAAGACACACTATAACCTAATGTTAGTACACATTTAACCTACTTAATCCCAAACCTTATCTAAGACTTATGGCTTAACTACCAAACCATTTTTAACCCCTAACATAAAAAGAAGTGAGTTATAAGTTTAACGGGAGTATCTGTGTGTCTGTGTATCCGTCTGTGGCGTCATAGCGCCCAAACGGATGAAGTTATTTTAATTTAGTTTTTGTTGTTTGAAAGATGACTTGATCGAGAGTGCTCTTAGCTTGAAATCAAGAATAACCTTTCAGCTGTTTGTAGGCTATAAGCTTTTTTCTAGACGGTAAAAAAATTTGAAACTTGGTATCTCGTTAATTTAATGACATGCTATTATAAACTAGCCCTAATGTTGCAGTCTCACCTGGAATCTGAAAGATAGTCAACTCTTTACTAAAATATCGCAGAGTTATCGCATTTAGGCTCATGGAAATGGCTTGAATGTATAGGTCATTGTTTTGATGGTTTTTTAAATTTTTAATTTAACATTTATGATGACATTTGCTCCTTTCTATCTCAGAACAAGGGCTTTTATAGAAAGAGTTAACTTACCAATTTAAAAATAGACTTTTATATTTTTCTTACTATGCATGATTACGAGTTTTGTGAGCACCAACAAACAAACAAACATTGCTAACTAACCGCTTAATATTTTATACACATTCTAGTAATATATCTAAGTATTACTACTTAGTAGTATTACGACTCACGTCGATATGAATTCCTTTATGACACTCTAAGGTTTTGTGACGGATGTTATCAAAGTTAGTACCTACGTTATAAAAATATGTTTTAACCGAAATGTTTCACGTAATAGGTTTTGAAGCACACCCGAGGGATTGTGTTTTTTCTTGTAGAAAAAAGTTGAGGAGATTTTTCTTGGATGATTGATGATTATGTGTTGGTCAATGTTTGTACTGTTTTGATTTTATGGCTTTACTTTCGTATGCCATAAAAATACTTTAAACCACTACTATATTAGTCTTATAGCTATTATGCAGAATTTGTGTTGGTTCGGACATATATGTTTATAATTGAAGTGAATCTTTAGAATCGTTATGATTTGAAACTCGATGAAACGAAAATGAGACACTAAAAAGAGACAAACACATAAATATATAGGATCAAGCTGGCGAGAGAATGAGATAGACTACATTGACATGTTACCATGGTAACCGTTGTTATTGTTTGTTCTTTCCATATATGATGTTCTATAAAATTATATGATTCTAATATGCTTTATTCAATTACTGATTTGTTTTCATTTAATTGCGATATTTGCCAAAGAAGTTTTAGTTCAAAGATTACACGCACCCATTTTTTTTGTCTTGTAAATATTTATTCTAAATAAAAATATTTGTATAATTTCTCGTTAAGCATGTTCTAAGTTCGTTAATTGAAACGGACGACTCTTCAGATATTGTGATTTCGTAAAACATAAGATGTAATAATAAAGTAAAAACAAACCATGAAAATAATAACATTCAAAGACTTACCTACTATCCTCAGAAGGAACGTGTACGGCGCCATCAAGGCATCCCAAACGAATGCCGAATATCATTACTCCAATAGTCTCAATAGCCCAGCGATATATTTCTGTCCCCAATTCTTCGTTTAATGCATTTTCAGCGTTACGAAGTTCACCGAGCCTGAGTATATAAGAATCTTAAATAAATTATAATATATTTTTATATCTTCGAAGATCTCATTAGTCTATAATCAATTGCCTCAGTCGTCTAGTGGTAGAGTGGAAAATGTCTTATTTCTGAGAAAAAATACGAAAACTACATTGTAAGAGTATACTTGTATGTAAAACCTAAGTATTTGGTTTTTGGTCATCTAAACGCGGGCGGAGCCGCGGGCAATGCTAGTCTATAATAAATTATTTAATTGGTAGCTATTTTTTAGATTTAATGTACATCATTGATAATGATTATGATAAAGAAAAAGAAATATGTAAATTAGGGGCCAAAGTTTAATTGTCGGAGACGAAATCCATTCAATTTATGAGATGGGTCCTGTCTTGAAGGATTAGTATAAATTAGGTTGTCTTCAAACAAACTGAATAGGGTATTAAATCAAAGCTTAGGCCATTATTACAAATAACATCAAATTTAAAAAAAATAATTATATTATGTCAAATTCCGAGTTATATTCTATTTTTAACTGACTTGTAAAAAACCTACTTGTTTTGGGAATGCGTAAGTAGGTATGTATGGGTGTGGGTATTTCGTTTTTTCTCAGAAACTATCAAAGGTCAGGTACAGGTTTAGAAAATATCTCATTAAATTTAAGTAAATAAAATTATTTTTCTATTATTTTATCTACCCTTTCAATTATTTTTTACATTTTAGTGTGTAGCAGTCGGTTTTTTTTAATGTCTAGAAGTCTGTTTATATACCTATATTTTTTTTATTAAGTTTTTATTTTAACTGATGGTATCTACCTACCCCTCATCGTTTTAAGTTTTAATTATTCTATATATACCTTCTTGTTACATCAGCGGCTATATCATCGAAAACTTTATCATAGTTTCTAAGAATCGTGCCATCTTGCAAGAGTGTCCTCATACCAGCCCATATGGCTTTGGTTTCATCACTGAAACAAAATTGTTTTGATAATATGAAAAATGTTTATGTATTGGTAAATTAATTCTTTTGTCGTAATATTAAGTTTTTTATTTTTTGTATTTTGTAACTCGTACTTATGTCATAGATTGATTTGAATTTTAATATCAGATTTATAATAATTTATGAAATCGTGCGCGAGACCGACTTGCACTTGGCCGGTTTTTTAACTACTTTATATCTTAGGAAGATATAAAGTGTAATTATAAATGTTTTATTGTTTTTTTCTCAACAAAGCTTATGACTTCAAATAAGTATAATATTAATTTAATAAGATAATGTCAAAGGATAAACGGCCCTTTAGCGCTTTATTATCACAACAATTAATCTTTTCTTTAATTTTTGTTTAATAACGCGATATTTAAAAAAAACTGCCTCGGTGGTGTAGTGGCTAGCATGTACGGCTGCACACCCGGAGGTCCTGGGTTCGAGTCCCGGGTCGGGCCAAGTTTTATTATAGAGTTTTTCTGTATAAGTAGTAAGCCTCACTAACAGCCCGAAGTTGGGAAGTTGGCGGTGTTTCACCCCCGTGCCTCGGAGAGCACGTAGGTAAAGCCGTCGGTCCTGCGCCTTAACTCTCACCGGTCGTGTCGAGCAGTCGTCCCACCGGAGTTTGAGAGTGACACGAATAGAGAGTGCACGTTGTGTCTGCGCGTACACTTGTGCACTATAATATCTCCCGCGCAGTTGGCTAGTCTCAATGACATTGGCTGCCGTGGCCGGAATCGGTCAGGAGAACATCATCATTTAAAAAAAATGTCTTTCTGAATACTTTGTAAAAAAAATCATACGCGAGAAGACTATCCCGTATCAATAAAATAAAATAGGTCAAAACTTAAAATAAAAACCTCTGATATATATGTAAAATGAGCCCCTAAAAAAATGAGACACCGACGGTACCCCGCTCTAAGTAAACGTAGGGTTAATTCGTAAAATTAATCAGAACAGAAGATAGATTTGTGCTTATCTTTACGGATTGTAACACATTTCCACGCAATATATTACATTAATCCTTTTACCAAAGGTTGTCTGTAGGAGATTGCTCATACCTATAAGACCGCCTTTCCTTTTTTTCATCTTCTGTACTTTTGTTTTGTGAGTGCAATAAAGTATTTATCTATCGATCTGTTATTTGATATTTTTTTATTTTTACAAATGGATATTATGCATTATAAATCAAAATAACTCCAATCCAAACTAAAAATGTATGTATGAATGTAGGTACCCATGAGTATGTACGTTTGCACGTTTTTTATTCCAACAAATATTTAATAATTACGTTTTAAAAAAAAACTCATATAAGAACTTCTTTTTAAATATAAATATAAAGTCTATATAAAAAAAACAAAATTCACTTTTACCTGTGGCGATATAAACACTTTTTTTTTATTTATTTTTTTTATTCTATTAGGAATCTGAAGTTTATTTTTTATTTTAAGTTTGAATAGCTTAATTATTATGACTAACCTGTGCATAGGACACTGAGTGCCGGCGTTTTTCCTTTGTTCAGACAGTGGCGATTTAACCCACTGGGGAGATTCCGTAGCATTGCTTTGATATACCTGAAGTCAATAGACACATAAAATGGTATATTAATTTTTTTTTCGATATCTTACTATATTATTTGACAATTTTGATTTCGATGATTTATTAAAATATATAAATAAAATGTATTTATATCAAGCAATGCTCCTATTATTATGTTTAAATTAATCTATACATATAATAAAATTGTAACTGAGCCGAATCTGTACATTAAATATTTTTTGGAAAATCTTATTGAAATAAACATTATTATCGATACGGAGGCCGAATCTATAGTTTTTAGAATTTTTGTCTGTCTGTCTGTTACCGCACCACAGAAAAATCACTGGAGGGATTTAATGAAATTTGGCATGATGATAGCTGGTTATCCGGGTCAACATATAATATACTTTTTACTGCGGGAAAATGTCTCATTTCTGAGAAGAAATACAAAAACTGTAACGTAAGAGTATTCTAATATGTAAACCTAAGAATTTGGCGTTTTGGTCATCTGAACGCGGGCGGAGCCGCGGGCAATGCTAGTAATTAATAAATATAAGAAATTATTACAGTATTGCAAGAAACAAAAAGGTTAGGTGTTTATTGAAATATTTTTTATTCATAAAGAAGTAAAAACAAATGTAGTTCATAAATTACTAACGGAAGGTTTTGGACTAGGGAAGGTATTGGATCACGTCATAAAGTGTCAGTCTCATCTCTTGAGGAAAGTCTATTAACATGCAAATAGTTGGCCTTTATCAAAACCCCTAATTTCCGAAGATAGCACCAAAGACGTCATGATAAATGGCTTTACACAATGTTATATAATATGTACATATACATTATACAATATACATACACACATACATATATTACCTAATACCCAGTATAGTATTATGTCATTTGTCATATTATTACCACAGATCATATAATACTATACCAGTATTACTTAAGTAACGTAATATCTTGTAATCTTTATATATATAATTCTTCTGTGAGTGTGTATGTCACTGAACTTCTCTCAAACGACTGGACCGATTTTGATGAAATTTTTTGTGTGTGTTCAAGGGGATCTGGGAATGGTTTAGATTCACAATTTGAATAATAATTTTCATCAAAAAAATTATTAAAAAAAGTTTGAAATTTTCAAATTAAAGACGTGTAGACAGGACGTCTGTCGGGTCCGCTAGTATACTAATAAGCTACGAAAACTACTCGTTCGTGCTAATTTTACCATGATAAAAAGAAGTCTGTGTAACCTAATTATCTATAATAAAATTGTAACTAAGTCGAATCTGTACATTAAATATTTTTTGGAAAATGTAATTGAAATAGACATTATTATCGATACACAGTCCGAATCTATAGTTTTTAGAATTTTTTCTGTCTGTCTGTCTGTTACCGCATCACGACAAAACCACTGGACAGATTTTGATGAAGTATGATGATAACTGGTTATCCGGGTCAACATATAGGATACTTTTTACCGCGGGAAAATGTCTTATTTCTGAGAAAAAATACAAAAACTGCAATGTACGAGTATAATAAAATGTAAAACCTAATAATTAGGTATTTGGTCATCCGAACGCGGGCGGAGCCGCGGGCAATGCTAGTACAATAATAAATTATTATAAATGCAAAAGTTTGTATGTTGCTTATTGCTCCTTCTTGGTAAGCCGCTAGTACGAGTATTTACACAAACTACATTAATATCTTCACCCTATAACTCCACACGAGCAAGGAACAACATTATAACTTAATATTAAATTAAATACAAACACGGAATTAATTTCCTCATATATTTTAATACCAAATTCAAAATTGTTAGTTAGCGGATAGAGTTTTTTGTGTTTGTGTGATACAACGATATCTTAGCCGATTGTACACCATTTTATTATCATGATTTATTATTACTAAGCTTCCGCTGTCCTTCCGACCGTCAGTGGCCTCTAATCTCATGTTCCGTAACAAGTTTAAAATGACCACCATGCAAATTAAAAAAAAAACTATTGTGGTACGGACCCCTTCGTATGCGAGTCCGACTCGTACTTGACCGATTTTTATTAAAAGTTTTTTAAGAGTGTACTTCAAGAGTTCAGAAAGAAAAAAGTGCATCACTATTGTTGGAAGAATGACTTTTATGGACATAACTCGGTGTAATTAAATATACGAAAAAGAAGTAAATATTTAGTCTACTGATGTCATAGGACTTGGTTGTCGAAATCTTCTGCAATATAGTTTTTGGTGCAAACAATGGAACATAAATCAGATAGATAGCTTCACAATCACGATTCGACCGATTAGTATGACGTTGTTACGGGGTCATGTAACAAATTTATTGCATAGGGTTCGGAATTTGGTTGACAATATACGCTATATCGCACTACGAGATAGATTTTATCTAAATTTATATTTATTAATAAAATTGATGTGTCTGTGCGTGAATTTAAAATTGATATCTTATATTAAGCTTACGTTATTTGGACGGCACCTACATAAACAAGTATAAAAAAAGGAACTGGTTTTTTATAGAACTGCTAAACCGATTTTGACAGAATTTTCGGTGGCAAAGTAAAAGTTATAAAGAGCAGAAGTTGAAGATATTAACAAATATTCACTTTCCCGAAGAATAGAAAAAAAAACGGAACGTATAGTTTTTCTTCTGATAATAACCAAGGCGCTTTTAAAGGCCGCATGCGAAATCTGAACTATTTTACATTCTATAAGGCAAATCTATAAACATCTCAAATATTTATAATCATAATATTATTTTAATAAAACTATACAAATCAGCGTTATTTACACTGTAGGTACCTGGCGGCTACCGGTGTGTCACCAAGCCCAACAATGAAACGTCTGCTGCCATATTTATTTATAAGTAGTAATGACATTGGACGTGTGTATTCGTTTATACTTTTAATTCCACATTAAAGCTGCTAAATTTCAAAATTACCGCTCAATCTCATTCGTGTCTTGCTCATAAAATGTGACACTGGCAGAATGAATTGCGTCTGTTAACGCAGCTCTAAGCCATAAAAAAAAGACATTGGACGAGTCGTTTACTGACTTAATAATTTTATTATTGAAAAAATATTGACTTTATAAAACAGGGCTAAAATTATTGATTATATATATATATATATATATATATATATATATATATATATATATATATATATATATATATATATAAATGATTTAGACTCTAAGGGCCGAACCACACCATACTGCCGATCACAGTCCGTTCTCGGCCCGATATCGGTCTGGTAAAGTTTTTTTACAAAAGATGAAGAAACGTTGCTGAAGTGCGATTCGACCGGAACGTGACTCTTCCTGATATTTATTATTATAGTGTGGAGCGGCCCTAAATGTTCCCAAATATCAATCTAGTATATCAGATATGGACCATTATGTTACCAGAAATAATTTATATATCATAAATTAGTATTAATGGCATATTTTTGACTTAAAATAATGAATTTTTTGATATGCACAAAATCAATCTAAAATCCAAAGCAAAAACTGCCTCTAATCATACTGTATATTTGGGTTAAGTGCCAGCCAGCACTTGATAAAAGAAAAAAAAATCTCTACAAAGAAAAAGTGCATAAATAATAAAGATTAGAATAATTAATAAAATTAATCAAATAACAACGTGAACGTAAACTCAATTAATGCAATAGATATAAGATCAGATATAATTATTTATATTCTCGTGTCTTTATTTATATAAATACACGATAAGTGGTTTGTGAGATTACTTTATATTTTATAGCGATCAATCAACTGTTTTACATAAACATGACCTTTTATTACGTAAATTGATATGTATAACTACTGTTTATTAACTGTGAATAAAAACATACGAGTTCTACTACTATTTATTAATGACTAGCGGCTCACCCTCGCTTCGCTCGGGTTTGCCAAAGCACGAACAGATCTATCCCACGGGAACCGTTCATTTTTCCGGGATGAAAAGTAACTTGTTGTTAGAACGGCAATATAAGGTATCAGCATGGCAAATTTTACTAAATTAGGTGCATAAGTTGTTTACTAAACTGTATAAGTTAGTATAGTTTTTAATTATCCACAGGAACGCTTTAATTTTCCGGGATAAAAAGTATCTAAGATGTTGTCCGGGCATATAAGGTACCACCGTGCAAAATTTTATTTAAATCGGTTCAATAGATTCGGAGATTAGCCCGTACAAACAGACAAGCAGACAGAGAAACAAAAAAATGGAAAAAGATCTAGATTTGTTCTATTTGTCTTCTTACATCGCCATGACTCGGTTTTTACCATTTTTTTTCTATGTACATACTACACATTCGACCTCTACAGTTTTATTATAGTATAAATAGTCTTCAAAATACTTGGATTCAATTATTTTGGGGTGTATGGTTTGTTTTATGTGCGAGTATGTATGGAAATTGTACTATAATTAAAAAAAATATATTTTTTTGCTTTTACTACTCTATACTAAAGATTATAAAAGATGAAGTTGTGAGATATATATGACGTATGTATATGTAGTTATTATCTTTTTAATATCATTTGTACAAAGACGGTTACGCTTTCTAATGTCAAACTTTCTATGAATTCGATATTGCCACAATGTAACGCAGTGAATTAGCGATTCGCAAATTCATTTGAAAAGATTATTTTTTTACAAATATATATATATATATATATATATATATATATATATATATATATATAACGAGTATAATGAATGATAATATTTGTGAAATAAGTCGTAAAAAACTATCTATTTCTTCTAGGGGTGCATACGAGCAGAGTGAGGGTAAGCCACAAATCATAATGTACCTTCAAATATTAAAAAAAAACAGTATTTATTAGTGAATTTATATATGTTTTATTGTAAGCCCGGAAGCAGGATTTTTCGAAGTGACTTTTTTATTTTATATAGTTACTTATAATTCAAAGCATCAACTACGTCGCGTCGTATAGACAAAGCAAAAACATTATAAATATTAAAATTTAGCAGGAGTATTTACGGCTATATGTATAATTTACATCCTGTCATACATTTAGATACAGTTAACTTCGTGATCCTTATCGGTTACTTTCAATTTTAGGACAGTGGCAACGTTTTTGTTAACGGTATAAAAACTGTAAATATATACCTATAAAGGTTTGCCTTTCCAAAGATTACCTCTACATACAAACAAATAAAGAAAAATAATTATCTTGGGACATAACATTACATTACCTACTCATATGCTTCATGCTTTAATCTATACATATCATAAAATTGTAACTAAGCCGAATCTGTACATTAAATATTTTTTGGAAAATCTTATTGAAATAGACATTATTATCGATATAGAAGTCGAATCTATACTTTTTAGAATTCTTGTTTGTCTGTCTGTCCGTCTGTCCGTCCGTCCGTCCGTCTATGTCTGTCTTTCTGTTACCACATCACAGAAAAAGCACCGGAGGGATTTTGATGAAATTTGATATGGCGGTAGCTGGTTATCCGGGTCAACATATAGGATACTTTTGACCAACGGAAAATATCTCATTTCTGAGAAAAAATACAAAAACTGCATTGTAAGAGTATACTAATATGTAAAACCTAAGAATTTGGTTTTTGGTAACCTGAACGCGAGCGCAGCCGCGGGCAATGCTAGTATATTTATATAACATAAAAATTAACATATTTACAATAATTATTGTACATGTTATGATTTTTTTGTAGGTATATTGACCTTTACGGTGTGGACACAAGATATTTTTTGTAACGTATACATGTATATCTTTTTTGTTACAATAGTGCGAATTGAGAGTCATACTTATTGACAGCCTTATTAATGCACGAAAAAATATTTTTTAAGCACTGTTTTTTTTTATTGTATTTTTTTAATGACAAATGTTAATAAGTACCGTACATGTTTTAAATGCTCAACAAAAAACGTACCAACTTCATTTATACTAAAAATGTTATCTATTCAATTGCAATAAAAATACTATCATCATCTAAAATTACAAACGTAATATTTAAATTAATTTAAAATTTATATATTTTAATTAATTTTACATTTATATATTTTATTGAATTTATCTATATTCGATACTAGCGACTCATTCGTCCCTAAATACGTTTTGACGGTTAGTATAGATTTCTCAGAGATGATATTTTTCCTACAGTAAAAAGTATCCTATATGTTGACCCGGATAGCCAAATATGTATCATCATACCAAATTTCAACAAAATCTGTCCAGTAGTTTTCTTGTGATGCGTTCCCAGACAGACAGACAAAATTTCTAAAAACTATAGATTCGACCTCTGTATCGATAATAACGACTATTTAAATAAGATTTTCCAAAAAATATTTAATTTATAGATTCGACTCCGAATTTTATTATATGTATGTATCGATAGATGTAGCATGTTATTGACATAGCTGTTTATGTTTTCTGTCTATTAGCAGAACTGTTGCGCCAAATATGGCCTCAATATTACGAATCTTAAGTAGTTTATTTACAGTAAGTAGCTTTCTCTAATGTTTATTTTTAAATTTAGTTACTTATGCCGCTTTCATTTATTCTTATTCTCAAAACAAAAAGAAAAATAAATATTCTCACATAATAGATTGTCTCCTTATAATATCTATTTTAGTATTAAAATGTGTGCCTCCACGTAAAATATATACATACATTACATAAACAATGTAAAGAAGTACCTACAATAATCTATACAAATAAATAAATTTGAAGTGCCTGTTTGTAATGTCAAAAATAACAGCTTTTTACTAAATACATAAAATTAAAGTATATACGGCACTTATATAAGAAAAAAACAATTTTTAAATATTAGATATTATAAGAAGGCACCTTTTATTTTAGAAAAATAATTAGGATTCCGCCCATAAAATGAAAACCCGTGAATTTGTTAATAATATTCGAGTATCTAGAAGGGGTAAGTCGTTAGTAAATAATAATACCTTTATATTCACTTACCTCTCGCATAAGCTCTGGATCGAAGACATAAAGCACAGGGCGTGATCTTGTCGCCTTGGCTAGACGCACTAGATCCCCATAGCGTTCTCGAAGTCCTTCTAGTAGGCCCAGACCCACAGTGTGATGGAAGCTCCCTAGAATAACATTTATATCTTAGTTTATGACAATCATAAGCAAAAGGTCCTGGAATATTCATAATGCGGCTTCGTTTGTGTATTAGATCTTCATTTAGTATTCCATACAAATCCACTGAGCCGTTACAACGTAAGGAAGTAATAAACAGACTAGCTTTCGCATTTTCAATGTTAACGTGATTAACGTCAACCGTGATTGGTATTTAGTTTAAAATTTAAATGGGATTTCGAAGACGCTTACTTAAACAAAACTAAACTACTTAAAAAGAGATGCTAAATTTAAAATATATGCTATAAATTGCGTATATTTATATGTATGTGTGTCTGTCTGTCGGTCTGTTACCACATCACATAAAAACCACCGGAGGGATTTTGATGAAATTTGGTATGGTGGCAGCTGGTTATCCGGGTCAACATATAGGATACTTTTTACCGCGGGAAAATATCTCATTTCTGAGAAAAATACAAAGATTGCAATGTAAAAGTATACTAATATGTAAAACCTAAGAATTTGGTCTTTGGTCAACTGAACGCGGCTCCCGCGGGCAATGCTAGTATAAAATAAAATGTAAAAGATAAGTTATAAATAAAACTGGAAAAAGCTATAAGCTATAAGAGATAAAAAATATACATATACAAGTTAATCTGATCGAGAATTAAGTAAATTTACACGGCTAAATCCTGTTTTATTGTATTGCAACTCTGACGAGCACGTGGTACTGAAATGTTTCTCAGACCGACGGCCCGTGATCGTCGTAAAATTGCCAAACACGATAAATGTTCCTTTAAGACGTTTGTGGTATGTCATTTGACGATAATTTCAATAGATAATATTTAATAATAATATACTAACATCTATTTTTGTGTATCTATTTTGTATAAGTATATATATACCTATACATATACTTTATTGTGATGTCTTGTTTGTTGTAGGTCCAGATTATAGAATAAATCCCTCTTATATCAAAAAGTTTTCAGTCCTCAGTGTGAATATTTCTTTTTAAACCGATCAATTCTCAATCTCTACCGTGTCTTCTCCATTCTACACGACATTGCCGAAGTAAATTGTGCGCAAATGGCATGCCTATAAGCCACAAAACAAAGAACATTGGACATAATAATAATAATATTTTGAGATAATAGTAGCTTATGCTTTGTTCGATTGCGTACTTGCGCCTAGCAGTAATTAAGTTTATTTCATATTATTTTCATATTACATATTTCATAGTCTACCTGTGTAGTAATATAAATAAATAATTAAATAAAAAAATATATTGGGACATTAACACACAGCACCATCTAGTTCCATGGTAAGCTACGACGCCTGTGTTATGAATACTAGATAATTGATACACTACACATGTATAACTTTAAATATATACATATTATAAATATAAATACTCATGACTGGATTATAAACATTCATGCTCATAACACAAATAAATGCCACCAGCGGGACTCGAACCCGCGACCGATGGCACACCAAGTAGAGTTACTACAAACTGAGCCCAACGTGTCGTCATATATAGAAATAATGTATTTCATCCAAATCAGTTCAGCCCTTTCCACGTAAAGACGCAACAAACATTCACAAAGACAGACAAAGACTCAAAGAACTACAACCACAACACAAAGAAACAATGTGTAATTTAACATTCATTTATTGGGTTTATAAATATAAAACAAAAGGTTTTATTGATTAATTAAGAGTCATGTTATTAATATTCAGTTTGTATGTGTTGTTACTAAATATAGCTAAAAATCAAATTAAATTAACTAATAATATTGATAACAACATTGCGTTTTAAATAATAAAATATATTAGGTAAATTTTCAAATGCGTATTTAAATAATCTTAAAGTGTGCGCTGATATTTTCTTAGATGTCGTTGATTTTGTTTCTTAACCGACTTCAAAAAGGAGGAGGTTCTCAATTCAATTGGTATGTTTTATGTATATACACCGATTACGCTGAGATTTATGATCCAGGTAAATTTCCAGGTAAAATCTATTGTTAACTGATACCCCGGGGTGTATGTGGTCGTGAAGGGACTAAAATTATAATTATTATAAACTTGTAATTATTAATTAATACCAATGCCATGTGAAGTCCGCCAACTCGCACCTGGCCAGCGTGGTGGACTATGGCCAGATCCCCCTCTTATTGAAGGGAGGCCAGTGCCCAGCAGTGGGACGTTAAAAAAGGGCTGAATACATACATACATACATACATACATACATACACACATGCACACATACACACATACACACACACACACATACATACATACATACATACATACATATATACATACATACATGTAATTTTAAATATTATTATGAGCGACATACGGCAAAAGTAAAGCTTTGTTAAGATAACGTTGATGACAACAATTAAAAAAATTCAAAACAAAGGAAATTGCTATTTCATTTTATCTTTTTATTACGTTAAATAAAGCGTGGACATGTTTATTATCATTATCAAAAATAAATTATGTTTCAATAATATTTACTAAAAAGTTTTGATTTTGAATTAGGTGCCTATTGAAACGGAATATCATTATTTCGAGGTTTTGAATCACTATAAATCTATACGTCATATAATAAAATTCTGAGTCGAATTTGAACATTAAATATTTTTTTGGAAAATCTTATTGAAATAGTCACATATTATCGATACACAGGCCGAATCTATAGTTTTTTGAATTTTTGTCCGTCTGTCTGTTACCGCATTACGGAAAAACCACTGGAGAGATTTTGATGAAATTTGGCATTATGATAGCTGGTTATACCAGCTATCTACTACTACTAGGATACTTTTCACTGCGGTAAAATATCTCATCTCTGAGAAATCTATACTAAACGTTAAAACGTAAGTAGAGACGAACACGAGCGGAGCGAGGGTAAGTCACTAGTCTATACTAATATTATAAAGTTGTAAAGTTTGTGAGTTTGTAACGTTGTAGGGGGTGTAATCTCTGGATCTACTGAACCGATTTTCATGAAATTTAGTAAAAAGATAGTTTGATACCCTGGGACATAGGACACTTTTTATCCCGGAAATCATCCCTTAAGGGGGTGAAAATGGGGATGAAAGTTTGTATTGGGAAGCAAGCTAGAGACGAACGGTCGAACCCGAGCGTAGCGAGGGTGAGTCTCTAGAAGAGTATAAAATAAAAGTAAATTCGTAGTTCATTAATAAATTAAACTTACTCGTTTGTTATTAATGTTCAATAAATATTTTACAACTACAATAATAAATCAGCTGAAACCCTCTTGTGAAAGCTAGAAGCTTTATATAAGTGTTTGGTAGCAGTTGATGAATGGTTCTCGATAAAAGATATGATAACAGTTTATTGCCTTAAGCGATATCAATTTATAGGTATACTCGTGTAGTCTACTTAGATACAAGTGACCACCGTGGCGTAATTAAACAACGTTATGATTAGAATGCTAATACTAATTCTAACTATGTTGAACTCAGATTTGATTCTCGTGTAGGGTAAATATTGCATACAACATACATTACATACATAACAATTTAAATCCACTATATAATTAATTGTTTTATCGTCGAAGATACAAAGCCATTATAAAAATTTAATTTTTTTTTAAAAAGCTATTTTTGAAAGTTACATACGATTTGTCAAACTAATAGCAATATCGAAAATCAATTAAATGTAATGATTCTATCATTAGGGTAAAATTTATTTGAAATTCAATGGATAAATGGATATTGGTATGTATGGATAATTATAAATGGATCAAAAAAACTACTACGAAAATTACCTAAAATACTTAATAATTCAAATCGAATACCTAATACTAATCTGTTCTTAAATACATGCTATATTACAATAGCTATATAGCTTAGCCAACGCAATTTGTATGAGCATCAAATTCGCTCGATTCTCACTAAACGCTCCCATCCGCGATCTATCCTATTGAATAATCATTTACAAGTTGTTAGTAGAAAATATGTACGTAGTGTAAAATGTACAGCAAAAATAGTGCCGATGTTAAAAAAATATTGTTTGTATAATACTTTCTTAGATTTACGCGAATGTTTGACATTATTAAATAAAACTATCTTTTCGGATTATTTCGCGGATTTATTTTGATTTTTGGTTCCCGACGTTTCGAATGCTTTACAGCATCCATGGTCACGGGAGAGACTGAGGTGTTACATGTCTTAAAGATATAGTTGTTACAGACAGCCTACCCACAATCAACAAAATGAAAATTGCACCAATTACATTACAATATTTTAACTTTAAACATTTTTATAATTTTAATTATAATTGAATATGGAAAATTATTTATTTAATTTTTGCTATTATTTTATAATTATTACAATTTTAAAAATATTAATTAGTAATCTATATTTAGTGTTGCCATTATTATATTTATAACCATAAAGAAAAATATAAAATATAGTATTAATTATTTAAGCCATATAATTGTTCAATGTGTAATTTAAAAAGTTAAAATTAATTAAGGATTATAATTTTAATTTAGTTTGCTATTATTTAAAAACAACTTACTAAGCAACACTATTAATATATACTTTTACAAATGAAAAATGAAAAATATCAATCTGATAAGCTGTCATTTTGATCTACACAGTATGAACTTACTACATCTGCCTGTCTGTTATGTTTATATTTATTATTTGATTTTATTATATTAATAACAGGATCCCATGACGATGGTAGTACCCAGCCATCTTCCCTATTGAAATTTGGATGTTTTTTAATTTCTATGGCTTCTCGAATCATTCTAGGGCGATATCGGTTTTCTTTCGCCAAGATTTGAGGTCTATCGAAACGAATATAATGGCTTGGGCGGTCCTGGCTATGTTTACAGACAGCAGATGTTGTATTGCGACGGTGCTTCACATCAGCTATGTGTTCTTTGACCCGGGTTCTAATGGATCGCTTTGTTTGTCCAATGTAAGAGAGCCCACAATCACAATCAAGCTTGTAAACTCCTGCATCTTGT